CTCTGTATACCTCCTCTACGTCTCTCTCTTATATATATCCCTCCTCGTTACTCACTTACAGCAATGCCGGGCTGAGGTACATTGTCGTCGGAGGTGGTGCATGTGGCCAACACCCTGGTTTACAACACCAGCAACTATGGTACTGCCTTCGGGTCCTGAATTGACTATGGCTACCAGTCTGTCCCGCAGACCTACATGGGCAACAAGGTTGAGAGCCCGCGTGCGGGAAAGGCTTAGGTATGACTACCATGATCAATGGTACGGCCTACACCCGTGCCGAAGATGACCAGATCAACGTATGGACAAGATTGGTAACTAGAGGTGGAACTGGAAGAATCCCTTCCCTCATTACAAGAAGAGTGGAGGTTTTCAGGTTCATATTCCCACCGTGGAGCATATTACGGCAAATTTGGCCCTCAGCTTGTGGGATGGATTAATATGCAGAACAGCAGCATTCACGCTGAGCTGAATCTCACCTACCAGCACCTGGGTATCCTAGTCGATTATTGTCCGCTTATATACAGTAGGTTCTCAACACCCACGTTCTGCATTGTCGCTATCCCGCTCATTGTGGTGCTCAGAGCTCTATACACAAGTATTGCGTCCACCAGTCGATGGAATTTGTACACACAAGGCCGTGGTCCTGCGTGAAGGAGTTTTATCGCGAACAACACACTGTTGATCATGTTCCATGGTTTAAGCCGCTCGCCACTTCACATCGCTCCAGATACTACCTCCCTTGCTCGTCTTAGATGCTGATTATTGAGTTGGTGTGTCAAATATCCATCTCTTGACCTGCACTGGACAACTACAGCCTGTCCACTGACACGCATATTATGAGATAGCTGAGAGCATGGCATATGGGACAGCCCTCTGCCACACCGGGATAGGCATTTGCGTCGCTGTCCATCGCCGAACAGGAACTCAAAAATTATCAACAGCTCCGTTACATCGAGGGCTTTGAAGAAGCTTCGATTTAGTTTGTCATTATAGCTTTATAATGCTTCTCGACAAATCAATCTCCAGCTCGGTCATAGTTCGTGGGCGACGCGCTTCACACACCGCGACACAAATCTCCATGCTATATAAGGTCCTGGGTCCTACGAAAACCTACTTGGACTACAAAAGATGCCATGACACGTCAGACTCCCTACTGCTGCCTGGGGAATTCTGACCCCTACCCCGTACGCGAGAAATACTCGTCGCGAGCTTCGCCGCCCGGATACGTGATGTGGGACCACCGCCGTCTCGAGCAGTGGAGAGCCCTCGGAACTCCTTCCCAGCGCCCCTCTACGTGATGACGGCGGAGTGGTGTACAGGACGTATGAGAGACCTTGTTTGCGAAAAGTTGGACATTGGTGTCTCTGGCAGGGCTGATGAGAGCTTCAGCCGGTGAGCAGTTTCCAGAGATGCATGCTGCGGTTTGCCTCGGATTGTGAGTATGTTCGTAATTTGTATGCTGTCACAGAATCTTATGGTTGCAGTCGTGTTTGAGGTTGACAAAGCAGGCCATGGCATTTATGGTTGTAACGAGATATAATGATGCAGGGTTTGTATATAGGAGTTTCTGACCCGTGGGTAAATAATGTATGTGGATGAAAATAAAAACAAACTCCTGGATATGGTACGAACTTAATCATTCCAAACTTGTACAAATTGCCTAGTATCATAACTCCGAACTATTACAGGATATATCTGAATCCCTCCTGCAGCCGGCGCGCAGCCGCAATGTCGATCCCCTCGATCTCCGCCGTGCGCTCCAACCGCCGCATCTCCTTATCCGTGAGAGTCACCTCGCTATCCTCCATCCGCTCCATGCGCTTGTTCAACGAGCGCAGATGGAAATACATGAAGATAGCCATGATGCCACCGAGGGTCTGCAGCCCGATACACACTCCCAGCGCGGGACGGTAGTGCGGGAAGTCCTGCTGGCGGTAGGTGAAGGGGGTCCAGATACTGGCGGAGTTACCGATGGAGTTGATGAAGGCGTAGGCGGCGGCGCGCTTAGCCGGGGGACGGGGAATGGCGTTTCCGATCCAGGCGTAGATGGTGCCGTTCTGGGCAAAGATGATGTTCATGAGGAAGAAGGAGAAGTACTTTGGGCCGAAGCTGTCGGTTGTCATGAAGATGATGAAGCCGACGATGGTGACGGGGATGGGATAGAAGAAGAACCAGAAGCGTTTGCCGAAGCGGTCGGAGAGGTGCGAGTGCACTAAGCTGTAGAAGACGACGAAGATGTAGGGCGGTGCGACGAGCAGGAGGGAGATGAAGTGGTCGTAGCCGAGTGTTGACGTGAGGGTGGGGAAGAAGTTCTGGAAGCCGCTGGCGCCGGTGATGGACATGTAGGCGATGGCGAGAACGTAGGTCTTGATGTCACTGAAGGCGAGCTTGAGACCCTTGACCTGGCTCATTTTGCCGGCTTCATCCACGTCGGCATCGGCGGCTTCGATGGCTAGTCGGCGGTTGGCGACGTGGCGTTCCTCTTCGGAGAGGAGCTTCCAGGTGGAGGGGAAGTCGGGCAGGAATACCATGACCGCGAGGCCGATGGCTATGGTGATGGAGCCCTCAATAATGTACAGCCATTTCCAGGCTGCGAGGCCGTGTTTCCCATTGAGTCCCTTTAGGATACCGGCCGCGATGAGATTTCCGAATGCTCCGCTGAGCAGGGAGCCCGAGTAGAAGATGCTCATACGCAGAGCTAGCTCCTTCTTGGTATACCACTTGGAGAGGTAGAAGAGCACACCAGCGAAGAATGGAGCCTCAACCAGACCCAGGATGAACCGGCAGGCGACGATTCCACCGAAGCTCTTGACCTGGCTCGTCAGCAGCGAGACCAGGCCCCATGCGGCGGTGAAGAATCCCAGATATAGCGATGGCCGTCCCATATAGTTCAAGATCAGGTTGGACGGCACTTGCATAAGAATGTACCCGACGAACAAAATGGAAAGACCGGTTTGATAGTTGGCGTCGCTGAGCTTTAGGTCTTTTTCGAGCCCTTGTAGACGAGCAGCCGGGTAATTGTTTCTTCGAAAAGAAAGTCAGTTCTGGTGGCACAACCGTGTTACAACGTAGAAAAGGTCGAAGAGAACATGTGCGACCGATGACTGGCGGAGAGCAAGCAAACAGCTCGACGCAATTACAGGAAAGCATTCTTACCGATCAATATAGTTCATGAGATAAACGAGAATAACAAGCGGCATAATGACAGAGTCAATACGTCGTCGCAGCTTCTTCTCAATCCTCTTCTCTTCTTCGGTCAACTGAGCCAGCTGGATGACCTCCTCGTGGGTCATCTCAGCCTTCTCCCCCAGAAGGTCTTTGTTGGTGATTTCCTCACCCATGTTGATCGAGCCAGCCGATAACAAAAAGGGTTTTATCAAAAAAGAAGAAAACTGAGTTAGAGAAGCGACAGAGTCTGCGCTGTGGAACTTGCAGAAGAAAGAAGGGATCGGCCATCTTTTATATACTACGCGCTCGAACTGCCGCCATACTGCACGATTACACGATGATGTCTGCAAGCTATGCAGTCCTACCTTGACGGGAACCCCCACGGGACGGAGGGACTGCGAAAGCCCGGGATTGGACAGCGGAGTAGGAAAGTTCTGTAGGAGATGGATCATTAGGGGTAGATACACGGGGGGAGGGGATTCTGCTGGGGCGTGGCTTTTCTGGGGAAACGCGGGGAAATAACTGATTGGCTGCTTGGGTGATGATGACCCAGAAGTAATCCTGACAGATGCGGAGAAGCCCAATAATGAAGACTGAGAAGGTTTAGACTACAGGCTAAAATGTCCCGTAGCCACTTGCCGTTGGCTGGCTCGCTCCATACTGCCACATATCCCGCCACGACTGGTATTTTGTKGGTTCCCCCACGTTTCAGGGTCCGTGCTGATTACGCCGTTTGCTTCCCAATATTGGGTGTTGCCCAAAGCGATCTGGTTGAAGTCGGAGGTTGTCCGGTGGCGCAACTAATGCCACAGCATTAAACCTTTTGCTGTAAAATCTGGGTCTCGGAGCGTCGTGCTCTTTAAATCTGTACAATGCTGGTGCTCCACAGGTGTTGGCAGAGGCACGTAATAGCCCGTGCTTCCCTTAAACTGGCTTGTTTCAGCAAGACTATTGTCGAACACTAAGAAGTCTGAGAAATCAAGGTATATTGCTTTGAAGCTTATCTCAGCTCTGCATACGCCAATAGTTCTTATCGAACAACTATATCATGTGCCATGTTTATTGCCACCAGCGAATCTAGTACGCTTTTGGAAGCTCTGCCGTCCCAAGACAAGGATATTTGCCTGCCACTCCCATTGACTAGATTTAGAGTTGGAGCTTGCTGGTCTCGCAGCATCTCCGATGTCTGCACTTGGCTTGGTCTCTTAGCCATGACCCATCAATCGGTGGCTCGGACTTTCCGCGGTCATCGAAGATTTGTCACGTTAAGCCGAGTCAAGATTGCGACTGGCCAAGGTCGCGTCGCGTTCTTCCCAGCCTAGCGTGAGTGAAGCCGTTCAACAATCCCTGAGCTAGCTGGTTGACCCTCGTCATCGATCTAGCCAATATGCGTCGCATTGATGAATCCTCCGCGGAGCTCAAGCGCTGCGGGTTTTAGTTCCCACTACCTTTGCTGGCTAGAGCGTTGTAGACAATGAGAATATTTGGAACAGCGCCCTCTAGACAAATGTAGAGAAGTATCCTTCGTATTGAGTCGATGATGCCCAGCAAAGGAGGTAGTGGAGTCAGAAAGGACTTKCTACCTCGTATTCAGACCTTCTTGGCAGAGTAAATAGCCCGTCAATATACGGAATATTCTAGAGCAGAATCGGTTTTGTTTACTGGAGCACCTGTCAGTCGATCATTCGACAGAAGGGTGTTCCTTGCGTCTGGTTGAGATGGCGTCGTGGCTTCCGCCCAGAGGTTCGGTTCCTTTCAGCCACCGTCGCAGGAGCCGGCCAAGGACGTGGGAGCTTAAGCCAAGATATTACAATATCTCGGCCGAGTACCCGCTAAATGGCAGCTGACCCTCGCCCTGAGCCTACATGTGTGCCACTCGGCGGTGTGGTTGTTCCTTGGCTTGTGACGCCTAGATCGCCTCCATCCGTAGGAACCACGATGTCCTTAACATGTCCTGGTGGACATGTGTTCCTTCGACAGTACTTTATGAGCTCTGCGACTAAGCCACGCCGCCACGTGAAATTTCTCCTTGCCTGACTTTCGCTGTTATCTAGCATCAAACGGCCACAACTTGTCTGCTTTGCTACTGTCAGGCCCTCGCCACTAGACTCAGATTCTCTGGCCGTCTGTATCCATTCGTCGTAGACCGCGCGATGAGCGTCTTTCGCAGCGTTCCATACATCATTCGGAACCCAGCCATCAGAGTTGGTATGGAGGGAGTTTCTTAGCCAGAGTTTAAGTTTTTGAACAGTCTCAAAGTCTTCATAATCTCGAGCGTGCTTCTTCAATTCTTCTTCAGTTGGAGAAAATGGGCAAGAGCCCTGTAGTCCCAGTTCTGTCCAGCGAGCTGAAAGCTCAATTAACTCTTGACGGAGCGCCGTGGCGCTGTCTCTCCACGTCGTATGAAAGTATTGGAAGATTCGAAACAAAATCGGATCGAGTAACCTTGCGAGGCGTAGTTTAGGAGCAAGACCCTTCATGCACACATCGTATGTCTGGTAACATATCAACGCGTCTTTCCATTCTCGTTCCTTTTGACCAGGAACTTTTTGTTCGTCTTGTCCGTCCTCAAAGATGTTTCCCTCCGTCTCCTCAGGGAGTGCAGCAAAATCAGGAGTCTCATTGGCATAAATGAACGCAGGCTCAATGCTTGCTGATTGCCAATCGAGCACGCCAGTCATAACGGTTGGGTCCTGGGCTGAGACATAAATATTTCTCTTGTGAAAATCAGGATGAAGCAGAGCTGGAGTAGCCGCATCCTGCATGCGCTTATCTTTGATCAACTTCAGCATTACTTCTTTACTTATTTTCAAGAGATTGATGTGATCTTGAATTGATTCTTGATGAGGAAGAACGTCGCGATTGCCAGCATCTTCTTTTGGTAATCGAGAGAAACCTCTCTATCAAACCTAGGCAATAACTTGTGAGGTCTTTCCCTAATTTGCGCCCGGTGTGTTAGAACTGCTGTCTAAAAATGAGTAGAGAATCATGGAACTGATAAGGACCGCAGTTAGGAGTTGGACCGCCGTAGAGCTCAAGCTCCCCCGGATTCCTGTTCCAGAAAACCGGACTGCAATGTGGACCAATACAGAAGTCCTGTTCAAAGGGAATCTTCATGTGCGACTCGAGCGGCGCATCGGAGAAATATAGACTGCCATAGGCCGGAAAGTCCAAGGATGCCATATCTCTCATCGCCAATGAAAGCATCTTAGCACACAGCATATGTTGTTCCGAGTTCATTTTGTGCTACATTTGGTGTAGCTGAACACCAGCAACGTGCTCCTGGAAGATATATTCTGTGCCGATGGGGTTTGACGGATTATCGTTCCAGTCCAGGATTTTCGGTATTGGAAGCGAGATCTTGGACTGTACTATACGAGAAACAGCAATCAGTCAGCATGTCAACTGCCCGAAGAATAAAGTATTTGAATTCGTCCTACAGTATGTCATCGTTGCGACTTCAGAATTGGTCGTCAACCTTGGCGGGCCAGCAATACCGGTCGGTAATCTCGCCACAACACATGAACCTGTGTCCATTGTGAAAAGAAAGGCTCTGTTAAATCCACCTTCTCTCTTTTCATATTTGACGATCTTGGTTGCTCCTGGGCATAGATGGACGGCCCTATCACAAAGCGCTGAGAAGTCAAACAAAACGCGCCGAGAGTTTCTTTCCAGCTTGTCCCGATGAAGCCATCTTCCACTGGTGTACATATAAGGATCATGTACTACAGTGGAGTCAGCGACGTAGGAAATTACAAGTGAGAGTAAATAATGCTACTAACATGGGACCGGTACTTCCGAAGCTGTCGCTGGGGCTAAGTTATCTGGCGGGGGATGTGACACCGTGCTGGCTTTGCTTCCCACATTGGCGCTGAGAAGAGAACAGGGTTCGAGATGCTGGCTGACTGGTGAAGGAACTCGCAACGGCCGCAAGAATCGAAACATAATAGTAGCGGATTTCTGTAGCTGTATCTAGATTGGCAGCCCAAGTGTTTGTGAACAATTGGGGCGCCAGGTACAGCGAAGTTCAATCTGGAACCTAACCAATAGAGATGCTTTTTTCATCCCTTGCCTGACGTACTTAAAATAGCTGGACATCCCATGGAGATTTTAGCCTCAAGAAGCTAGACGGATCATATGTAAGTCCGACGTTGCGCCGGCCATTGGGAATCAATTTCTAGTCTAGATTTTGAGCAACCTTTCTTGTTCAATTCTGAATTTATTTTAGTGAGATTGACCTTCTCCGCGACGATAACGAGAAATGTTTTCAGTACATACACCCTATCAGCCGTGATCGATCAGGCAGAAAGCTTTAGAACAATGACTGTTCATCTTGCAAAATCGCCGAAGCTTGCAACATCGCAAGCTGATGAAGTTGCTAAGTGAGCTACAAAACTGGTTGACGCCGTCACGCTCCGGACGACAGTGGCAATCTCGCTGTCATGTGGCACCGCTACTCGTTACGAATCAAACCTCATCCGTATCCTGTTTTTGTTCATCTCGGCAAGTTAAAAGGAATCAGTGGCAGGATGTCCTCAACACTTGTTGGCGCCTCCGGCCGCGTCTACGTGCGTGATAGGGTACTCAAAGCTCATCCAAGGAACCCGGAGCTGAATATCTACCTTGCACAGTAAGTCTCAATTTCTTCAATCATCTTGCTAGTATTTCCAAACATTCCACTAACATCAGACGGCAACGAATCTCAGTTGTGAGAGTCGACCCTTTGTTTTGAAGCCTGTTTCCAAGTCGATATTCGAACATTCCATAATCCTCAAAAAGGAGTTTCCAGATATTTGTCAACTTCGAACACATGCGGATGTCAGCGAAAACGAACTCATTCTCGTTTATGAATATTTTGAGCATGAATTGCTCTCCCTAGTACAGAACAACTCAAATCTATCTCTCAAAGCAAGAAAATTCATATTGCAACAGGTCGGGAAGGCAGTGGAGAGCTTTCACGCCAAAAAACTGGATACACTTGGGTTGGTTGCAAGGCAATCAAATATCACTTCATCAACTGTGCTGACAAGTGTCACGTCTAGACATAAAGCCGGACAATGCCATGGTGGACTGTAGGAAAAACAACGAAGGCCAGTTTGTAATAGAGCGAGTGGTATTATCCGATCTGGAGGGCTCTTTGGAGCTGGAAGGCAAAAGGCTCCTCAATGCTAGAATAGGGAACGTGATGTGGCGCAGTCCAGAGGGGCAAATAGGGAAGGGTATTGGTAAACCTTCTGACGTGTTTTCTTATGGGCTACTTGTAAGTTGGACTATTCACTGTTAACGAGCAACCCCGCTTAACATTACTCACAGTTCCTCTATGTCATAACCGGCAGGGAAACTCTACATCCTGACTTCAAAGAACTAAGGGAAGCGGGAATCGAACCTGAGCTGGAGATCTTAGGCCGTTTGATAACATTCTTCGGCCCTGTCCCTCCTGAGCTGGTGTCACATGTTAACGACGAAGGATGGGGCAATATTTTGATGGAATTATCGGAGGCAACCGCTGATGATCCAAGCATGCGATTCGACCAGTGGAAGGAAGAGGTTTTTCCAAATCTTGACACTGAAACAAAGAGAGTGATATCCAGGATGACAAAGCTTAATCCTGCAGAGAGAGCCACTATGTCTGAAATTTTAAAAGATCCCTGGTGGAGTCGCAATGAGAGTCTTGGATCTCAGTAGGGAATGATTATTAGTTAACTGGGTCTCAATCACCATCAACTTGAATAGAAGGGCCAATATTTTAAAAATGTGAATGATTCTTATCGCCAGATTCTTTAATGATTACTCGCCTTTAATGACCTCCGAAGGCTGCTGCAGAAGACATACAACACGATTGCTAAGACTTTTTATCTGCTCTACAGTAAAGAAGGATTCAAGGCCTAATAGTTAACTAACTTAGATGATAAGGGCAGACTTTTGGTGACAGAATAGAGAGAGGGAGTCAGAGGCGGATCGGAGCGACGGCATTTGGATTTCTTTCATAAACATGTCTCTCAGCACTTGTGCATATGTATTTATATCTTTGCTGGACCCAACCACAGGGAAACCGAATTAGTATATGACCCCACCTGAATTTGGTAAAGCAAATCAACGTAGCTAGGACTGGATAAACAGCGAGGACCGGAGAGTCCTCATGGGACTGAGCCGTATATTGCAGGCGAGGTAACACGAAGCTGTCAGCAACTGTACCACAATGACAATGGATGAGCATATTAGAGCACATTATCATTATCATCTATGAGCAAAATAACATTATCTGGTCTCTGAAAACTCTAAAATACTCTTAACTACTGGTGCCTCTGGGAAAGTCAGTGTCCCTAATCATTCCTCTGCAGTTTACATAGATATGGCCATATTGGCATATTCATGCAATATGAACAGTTAGGCTGTCAACAAGACCGCGAAGGTTCCGCCAACTCAAAAAAGAAAATGCGCCACCGGCAGGTGCCGGCGATCCTGTCAGCAAGAACTACATCATCTTTGTCATAAGCTGACGCACTTTGCATGGACTACATGCATGCATAATAAGGCTGAGCTCGTATAAGTGTTAGTCTAAGTCCGGGTCTGCGACATGGACCTCTTCCAGGTAGGCATGACGCTGAGGGGAGCACTGAAAGAGAAAGTTCCCAATCCTKTGGGATACGTCCGCCGAGGCAGTGTTGCACAGTAATGCTAGATATGGCGTAAGAATTCTCTCACTACGCATAGGAAGACATGACAACAAAGAAAATTGCAAAGAAGAAAACCGAGGCTTCATAGCATGCCATGTGTACGCAGATGCAAAATTGCTAGTGACAAGACCCACTCACATCGTTACAGCCCAAAGCAGCCGAATTTAAGACTGAATATCCATTGATAGTTCTTATCTCCATGTCGACGCCTTCCGAGATCTCCGCCGATCAGCAAAGCTGCGGCAGATTGACTTGAAACCGTCGATGATGTGTAGCAACTATCTGGTCTCGGCTGCATTGGATAATTCTCCACCGGGGATTACTCATAAACAGTCAGTATCTACGGTCCAGAACAAACGTGTTCTAGAAAAAAGTGAGTCAATTGAAACCAAACCATCGAGATGCCGAGTAAAATCGCTGCCAGATTGGTCCGTAGCCGCTGAGTCAGCGGAAGGAGGAAGCACTCCTAATTCCGCCGAGCTCTTGGCCAAACCGCAGAAGCCCATTGATTGGTCCTGGCTGGCTGACGCAGCGGAAGGTTCAGAATAAGCCGGCCTAAGGGGGGCCCGACGCCGACGCCGACCCACTCAAAGCCGCTGCCACTGAGAGAACAAATCAAAGCGGATCAGGACGACGACAATGTCACTTTCGTCTTGCACCGCGTCCTTTGCTGAATCGGTCGATATGATAAGGGTTATCCCTGATTTTTCATCCATTGAGATTTTATTCGGAATTTCCGGCTCGGATTCGGCATTATGGCGTCAAGGCAACCCAGTGGAGAACCAACAATCAGCGGCGAGGCCCCTCCTGTAATAACAAGCTTACCATTGATTATCGATCTCAATGGCATCAACCATGATGATTGGCGAACACAGCCTTGGGTCTTGTATTTTTTACGAAGCTGTGAGACTCGGGGCCGGGTCTGTTTAGAACCGCTGACCCACTTGGGTAAATGGCAAGTTATTATATACCTTCAATGGCTCCCGAGATACTCTCGACAAGTCTCCAAGCTCGAGTTGGAAATTTTTCGCCCTTCTGGCCACTGAAATTGGTGCCTGCTCAGCCATGGAGGACCAAGGTCACCCATCGTTTGTTGAGCCGAAAGTGCCATTTGACAGGCGAGATGACACAGACAGCACGACCACCGTCCTTGATGAAACCGATCAGTCACCTACTCCGCGTCCTCAAGACACCAAGCATGCCGAAGACTGGAGTTTGATGCCGGATATCAAGAAGCAACATGACCGGAGTCTAGCGTCAGGCCTCAGACGTCGCGAACTTGGTGTGACCTGGAAGAATCTGAGTGTGGAAGTCGTCAGCGCAGATGCCGCCATCAATGAGAACGTTTTGTCCCAATTCAACATTCCTCAGCACATCCGAGAGTCTCGTAACAAGGCGCCTTTGCGGACCATTCTTCATGAAAGCCATGGCTGCGTCAAACCGGGAGAGATGCTTCTTGTTCTCGGTCGCCCTGGTTCCGGCTGCACAACTCTGCTCAGGATGCTTTCTAACCATCGACTCGGCTACAAGTCGATTCAAGGAGATGTTCGTTTCGGATCGCTTACTCCCGAGGAGGCCTCCAAATACCGTGGTCAAATTGTCATGAACACCGAGGAGGAACTGTTCTTTCCTACCTTGACTGTTGGCCAGACCATGGATTTTGCAACCCGATTAAAAGTTCCCTTCAACCTTCCCGAGGGCGTCAGTTCACAGGAAGCTTTTCAGCAGGAAACCAGGGAATTCTTGCTCAAGTCCATGGGCATCTCTCATACTTCGGATACGAAAGTCGGCAATGAGTACGTGAGAGGCGTCAGTGGTGGTGAGCGGAAACGTGTGTCCATCATCGAATGCCTTGCAACTCGTGGCTCCGTCTTCTGCTGGGATAACAGTACTCGGGGACTGGACGCTAGTACTGCTCTTGAATGGGCGAAAGCTGTCCGTGCGATGACTGACGTTTTTGGATTGTCCTCAATTGTTACCCTTTATCAAGCAGGAAATGGCATCTATGATCTTTTCGATAAAGTTCTGGTTCTTGATGAAGGCAAGCAGATCTACTATGGTCCAATGTCCCAGGCAAGGCCTTTCATGGAGGAGCTAGGCTTTGTTTGCCGTGAAGGATCGAACGTGGCAGACTTCTTGACCGGCGTTACTGTCCCGACCGAGCGCAAAATCCGACCCGGATATGAGAATCGCTTCCCACGCAATGCGGATGAGCTTCTGGCCGCTTATGAGAAGTCGCCGATCCGAGCCCAGATGGCACTTGAATATGACTACCCTGATACTGACTCGACCCGGGAGAGGACGGAAGAATTCAAGCTTGGAGTTGCTGATGAGAAAGCTAAACGGCTGTCGAAGAACAGCCCCTTCACTGTCGACTTTTTGCAACAGGTCAAAGCATGCATTGTCCGTCAGTACCAGATCATTTGGACTGATAAGGCGACGTTTGCCATCAAGCAAGTCTCTACTCTGATTCAAGCACTCGTCGCTGGTTCTCTCTTTTATAATGCTCCAAACAACTCTGGCGGCTTATTCATCAAGTCAGGTGCTCTATTCTTCTCGTTGCTATACAACAGCCTCCTCGCCATGTCAGAGGTTACGGATTCCTTCAGCGGTCGACCAGTCCTGATTAAGCACAAGTATTTCGCTTTCTTTCATCCGGCCGCGTTCTGCATTGCACAAGTTGCTGCCGACATCCCGGTGCTCCTGTTCCAGATCAGCATGTTTGCGGTCGTCGTTTACTTCATGGTTGGCCTTACTACCTCAGCAGCGGCCTTTTTCTCTTACTGGATCGTCATCTTTGTGGCTACTATGGTAAGTCTTGCTCGATTACATTCATCCAACACCGTGTTCTTCTGGAATACACCATGTGCTGACAGATACGCTTTGTAGGTCATGACCGCATTGTTCCGTGCCATCGGAGCGCTTTTCTCTACCTTTGACGGAGCCTCGAAAGTTTCTGGCTTCTTGATCAGCGCTTTAATTATGTACTGCGGCTATTTAGAACCTTACCATGCGATGCATCCATGGTTCATCTGGATTTATTGGATAAACCCGCTGGCATATGCCTTTGACGCGTTGCTCTCCATCGAGTTCCATGACAAGATAATACCATGCGTTGGCAATAACCTGGTACCGTTCGGACCTGGTTATGACGATACTGCGTTCCAGTCTTGCGCCGGTGTCAGTGGTGCGATTCAGGGAAGGACCTATGTGACTGGCGACCAATATCTGGCTTCCCTAACATACTCGCACTCGCATGTCTGGAGGAACTTTGGTATTCTCTGGGCCTGGTGGGCGCTTTTCGTCGCTGTGACCATCGTCGCCACATCACGCTGGAAGTCTGCCGCGGAGGCTGGCAACACGCTACTGATCCCCCGTGAAACGGTGGCGAAACACCACGCTGTGACTCGCAAGGATGAAGAAGCACAGGTCGATGAGAAGGCTGCTAACAAACGCACCAACACCGACACTGAAGACCAGAACGGAGTCGATCAGCATCTGGTTCGGAACACTTCGGTCTTTACATGGAAGGATCTTACTTATACCGTCAAGACCCCGGCGGGTGATCGTGTTTTGCTGGACAACGTTTACGGTTGGGTCAAGCCCGGCATGCTGGGCGCTTTGATGGGATCCTCCGGCGCCGGCAAAACCACTCTTTTGGATGTCCTGGCTCAGCGCAAAACCGACGGTACCATTCGAGGATCGATCATGGTTGACGGACGTCCGTTGCCTGTTTCTTTCCAAAGATCCGCGGGTTACTGTGAGCAACTCGATGTGCATGAACCATTCGCTACTGTTCGGGAGGCTCTGGAGTTCTCCGCTTTGCTTCGTCAACCACGCCATATCCCAAGAGAGGAGAAGTTGAAATACGTGGACGTCATCATCAATCTTCTTGAATTGCACGATCTTGAGCACACTCTCATTGGTCGAGTGGGAGCAGGATTGAGTGTTGAGCAGCGCAAGCGAGTCACTATTGGTGTGGAGCTTGTCTCGAAGCCTAGCATTCTGATCTTCCTGGATGAACCTACCTCTGGCCTTGACGGCCAATCTGCCTACAACACCGTCCGCTTCTTACGGAAGCTCGCCGACGTCGGCCAGGCAGTCCTTGTGACCATTCATCAACCCTCTGCTCAGTTGTTCGCTGAATTCGATACTCTGTTGCTTTTGGCCAAAGGCGGCAAGATGGTTTACTTTGGTGACATCGGCGACAACGCTCAAACAGTCAAGGACTATTTCGCTCGATATGGTGCTCCGTGCCCTGCCAATGTTAACCCTGCTGAGCATATGATCGACGTTGTCTCCGGCCACTTGTCCCAGGGACGCGATTGGAACCAGGTCTGGCTCGAGTCCCCGGAGCATACCAGCTCCTCTCGGGAACTAGACAGTATAATCAGCGAAGCAGCCTCCAAGCCTCCCGGCACAGTGGACGATGGCTATGAATTTGCCATGCCGCTCTGGGACCAATCAAAGATCGTCACACAAAGAATGTCAACCTCGTTGTACAGAAATTGCGACTACATCATGAATAAGATCGCGCTGCATATCGGATCAGCCTTGTTCAACGGCTTCTCCTTCTGGATGATCGGGGACGGCGTCTCGGATATGCAACTTAAGCTCTTCACTATTTTCAACTTTATCTTCGTCGCCCCCGGTGTCATCAACCAGCTTCAGCCTCTATTCATTGAACGCCGTGACATCTACGACGCAAGAGAGAAGAAGTCCAAGATGTACTCATGGAAAGCGTTTGTCACGGCTCTGATCGTGTCCGAGTTCCCCTACCTCTGCGTATGCGCTGTTTTGTACTACGTCTGCTGGTACTACACCGTCGGATTCCCCACAGACTCCAACAAGGCCGGCGCGATGTTCTTCGTCATGCTCTGCTACGAATTCCTCTACACGGTTTGTCCCCCTCTCACCCTCAATCTCTTGCCTAAATATCTAACATGCCCCCAGGGAATCGGACAATTTATCGCCGCCTACGCCCCCAACGCGACCTTCGCCGCTCTCACCAACCCCCTCATCCTCGGTACTCTAGTCTCCTTCTGCGGTGTGCTCGTTCCCTACGCCCAGATCCAGGCTTTCTGGCGGTACTGGATCTACTGGCTCAACCCCTTCAACTACCTCATGGGCAGCATGCTGGTCTTCGCCGTGTTCGACACGGACGTCAACTGCAAAGAGGGCGAGCTCGCCATCTTCGACACGCCGAATGGCACGACTTGTGCGGATTACCTGTCGACGTATATGCAGGGGTTCGGGTCCCGTACGAATCTCCTCAATCCCGAGGCGACGTCTGGCTGCCGCGTTTGCCAGTATCGGTATGGAAGMGACTACCTCTACACTATCAACTTGAAGGATTACTACTACGGCTGGCGTGATACTGCCATCGTCGTCATTTTCGTCCTCAGCTCGTATGCTTTGGTGTACGCGCTGATGAAGCTGCGGACCAAGGCTTCCAAGAAGGCAGAGTGATTGTCCTTTGGGTTTCCTGACTATTGTCTCATTCGGAGAGAACCACAAATCTGGACTTTGGACTTGGCGGTCTTGGTGTCGTCAGTCCAGCGTCTACCTCTCTCTCCATCTCCCGTTTTATTCGTTTCCTGTGCTCCCGTTCCTTGAGATTCCTTGTTTATACCTAGATCCACAATAATAGACTTGCTTAGATTTAGTAATATCGTTACTTAAAGAATAAATCCCAGTTATCCCTATTCCTCCACATGAACCAATCTAGACTTGTGTGCAATCTTGCCCGCCAGATCCAACAACGTACTACTCGCCAGAATATCCAAAATCGGGACCGTGCTCTCCATCGTCTTCGAGATCCAGTTCCGCAACTCCACCGCCATGTGCGAGTCGATCCCGTACTCCGTAATGGGATGCGAGGCATCGATGCTCTCGATCGGAACAGACAGATGCGCCGCAATCTTCCCGCTCAGAGCACTGTAGATAACCCCGGAAGCCTCTTCGAGGTTACTGACGTCTCGAAGGCTCTCGCGTAACTTGCCGATAAACTCATCAGACTGGTCGTCTTCCCCCTTCTGCTGGAACTGTCGCCGGAAGTGTGCAAAGAGGGGCGCGTCAAAGTTGCTGAGCGACTGCCCCTCTTTCCACTCGCCCAATCCCGTGATAATCTGGGATGTTCCGCCTTCGCCGAACGGCGCTCTGATTGAGGCCGCAATCAGAGACATCAGCGTCGCTGTGTCTGTGCCGTGGAAACCTTGTTGGGCCATCTTGGCCGCTAGATCGCGGTTACCGGCCAGGTACCCTACGTCGGTTATCACGCCGAGGTCTATTGAGACGGCTGGAAGGCCGAGGGAGTTGCGGTATGCCGCGAATGCGTCCAGGAAGGTTGATCCAGCTGCGTAGGCGGCCTGGGTGGCGTTTCCGATGATTCCGCTAATGGAAGAGAGCATGACGAAGAACTTGAGGTTATCTTGGAGATAGCGGTGCAGATTCCAGGTTCCTGCGTATTTCGGGTGCAGCACGGACAGGTAAGCCTCGATGGTCATTTTCTCGATATGGATATCCTAGCAATGAGTCAGTTTACTGAGGGTATGGTCTACGTTGATTTAGACATACCCGGAGGATCATGGCAGCCTGAATGACTCCTCGAATTGGAGGCGCATCCCGCGCAAGATCGCTCACCATCTTCTCGACCTGTTGGCTATTAGATATATCGCAGGCGTGTACAACCACACGCACTCCCTTTTTCTTCAGGTCTCGTGCTGTTTCCTGCGCTGCCTCGCTCGACAGTCCACTTCTATTGACGAAGATCAACGTTCGAGCCCCGTTATCGGCCGTCCAGAGGGCCGTGGCTCGTCCGATACCTCCTAGCCCGCCAACGAGTATATAAGATGCATCTGGATGGAGTAGGGCAGCTTGTGGCTTCGGAGTGATGACCTGCTCTTTCGTTAGCAAGGATCCGGAGATTCCTCCTCTGAGATTACCTTCACAACATCCTCTGGTTGAGCCAAGATTACTATGGATTCCATATCATCCGATTCCAATGCGTTCAATGCGCCCAGCATATCTGAGATGCTATACGTTGCCAAGGCATTGGGGCCACGGATGTGTCCTGCTCGGAACATGCGCATCACATCCCCCCATGTTCTATACAGCAATGTTGGCTTGTCTCTCAAGAGCTTATTGATGTCCAGTGTTGCGAACGAGATGTCATTCTCCAGCTGCGGGATTGCCCACTTGCGCTGACTCCAGCGATTGTCGTGGTAAAGGTGTATGAATTTGCCGCCTGTACCGACCAACCTGCATAGCATCTGTAGCATCTCGTTGTCCGAACTTTCAAAATTGATTACCACATCAAGAGGCCGATGCTGCTTCATTCTCAGAAGCTTTCTAACATGAGCTCCGTTGTCATCGACGATAATCCGGTCATCCGACACAGCAACTGTACTGCTAAGAAAATGCTTTTCTTTCTCAGCTCGGACAACAAAGAGCCCATCTGCTCCAATATGGTGGCATAATTCTGCTAGAGCTTGCCCAACTGTTCCTGTGGCTCCGTATACTAGAACCTTGCCAGCGGAGACGACCCGCCCAAGGTCCTGAAGAACATATAGTGCTGTGCAATAAGCCAGAGGCAAGGCAGCTGCTGCTTCAAAGGATAAATCCGACGGTAACTTTTGGAATGCTAACGCCTGCTCTTGGTGGCAATTGGCTACTGCTCCTTGCGCAAGGCAAGCCACTCGGTCACCCGGGGCGAAACCATGGACAGCTTCTCCGATGCTTTGAACAATCCCGCTGACTCCGAAGCTCATCGCTGGTCCCTGAGACATGTCCTGCTCTTCCAGAGCGGTTAGGGCTTGTTTATCTATGCATACCGCATAGGTTTGAACTCGGATATGGTCCGTGGGTAGGTCATCCATCCTGGAATTGTCCACAAAGAGCACTGCATCTGCCCGAGAAACATCGGAAATCGTCGCTTTGAGGAATCTGTCCTTCCGATGGAACTTTTCAAGGCTTGTCGTCTGTGTTTCATGCGACGCCGCGAGGGAACGGTTGAAGGCCGGGTTCTCGACAACTCGGGGAATGAGGAGCACGCCGTTTCGCTCAGCATACTCTGTATCACTTTGATCGTTTCCATCGGCCAGAATTCGCTCGCGCACCACTGTATATATAACCTCGGCGGCGCGCTGACTTGAGAGCGGGTTCTGTCCGTCCAAGTCCAATGTGACGATTCTTTCAATTCCTGATTCAGAGCGTGAAGTCCGTACAAACCCAGTTGCCAGAGCACCGTCCGGCGTCACTGGGGAAATTGCCGCTCCTCGAGTTACCCACAGGACGCCCGATGCCTTCAAGAAGATTCGCTTCAATACTTCCAGTTCCTCTGGACTAGGGTCTGCCATCAGAGGCCGACTAAGGCCACTGAGAATAATGCAAACTCTTCCTTCTGGCTTGGCATGGATGAAATCTACAATTTCGATATCGGACGACACGGGGCCGAGACAGTCTTGCAGAACGGACATGTCTATGCCATTGTCATCATCTTCTGATATGATTAGAATACGTCGTTTGGGAATTGAATGCTCATGCGACGGACGAGTGATGATCATGAAGGGCCCTTCTCGTGAAGTGCTTGCATCTTCTGCGTCGCAAAATCCAGCCACTGAGAGCGCGAGATTCCAGTCTTCGAGAGTATGGCCAAATCGACCTTCAGACCAACATCCTGGAGAATTCGCAAAGATAACAGAGTTGACTAGATCATTATATCCAGCAGTGGGATCCACGATGACCAAATGCCCCCGCGGCTTCAGCAGCGTGTGTATGTTCCTCAGAGCTTGCAACTTCGATGAGACCGTACAAAGGCCCAATGACACAATTGCGACATCGTATTGGGATTTGAGAAAGCCTTGTGTCTCCGGACTCTGGTTCAGATCCAATTTCTTCACTTTCAGCGATTGGTTCCACTCGGAAAGCAATGGGGCGAAGTGCTCAGGGATCGATGGGCCTTGATAAGTGATTGTGTATTCACTGCATATGGGGCCTCGCCCGCGATTGCTCAAGAGCCTTTCAAGATAACCTTGTGAAGATTGGCCAAATGTACCCTCCACCTCAAGTATCGAGACCATTGGGTTCTTATAGCCGACAAGCTCTAGATAGCTAGCTAGTTTTGCGTACACCGGGGATGAGCGGATAGTGTCCCAGTAGTGCTCCCATACTGAAGGATCCATATCACTGGTTGAGAATTTTGGATCTTTCAAGACTGTACTGAGTTGCTCGCCCATTGCAGTGAGGATTCTTCCTTCCGGTCCGGAAGCACTTACTGCATGAATATCCGCGCTATCCATGTCTGGTGACGGGGCCAAGAGACCTTTTTGCATGAAATCAACGAAGTATTCAAACTGTTGCCTTCTATCCGGATGCAATTCTTCCTTGTCCACGGATTCAAGACCTTGGATGGCTTTCCGAATGTAGTAAGACGCACAAGTTTCCAACGAAGTTCTCTTTGCGGATCCTTCGCTGTCGTGGTTGTTTTCATTAAAAATAGTACTAAAGTCTTGCGTTGAAAGAAGGTCAGGATCTGCTTTCCAGGTAAGCATGTACCCAAGGCGATCAGTCGGATTGACTGTATTCCTGGGTGCGCTGTTCTCGAGGTTCTTGCATCGCAATCCCTTAATCGACATAGCAATAGTATCCTGGCTATCCATCACTGTAATTGAGGCTATAATGCCCTTTTTCGTCCGCTTGTCAATGTGCGTCTCAATTTGCATTTTAGTACCCGGTGAATGGTCTGTACTTCGAGACACACAAAGCTGATCTATATGAACCGGAATAGCGGGATCATCTCCAAAGTCTGTCTGAACGAATATTGAATGAAATATACTGTCAAGGGTGCAGGGATGGATCAAGTATGGGTACTGGAAATTCATCGGCATGACAGCTGCTGTGTCAGGGATAGTGACTTGAGCAAAGCACAAGTTGTCAGCACGATTAGCGTGGGTCATATTCGCAAAGCAAGGGCCATACTCGAGACCAATGGTGGCTAGCTTTTGGTAGAACGTCGAGATGTCTATGACACTGAGGTCGGAAGATTTTGCTGGCGTCCGGGAACAAGACTCATCCTCGGTGTCCAGGGACATATCATGGACGCCAACCAGGCCACGACAATGTTCGGTCCATCGATTTTCACCGGTCACAGAATAGATGTTGAATTCGTAAAGATGCTCGGAGTCCTCGGTGCCCCCGTGACACACTCGTAGCGAGGTCATGACCTCAGCTGCAGAGTGCTCTTGGATGACCAAAGCGGCTTTTATTTCAACATCACGGAGAATAAACGCTGGCATGTGCTTGTTTACCTCCCGCTCCGGCAAGTGTTGAGATGTAGCTTCTATGGCCATTGCAATGTACCCCGCTGCAGGATAAACTATGTTCGACTGTATTTTATGGTCTTTCAGCCATGGGACCTCCGAGACACGCACAAAGTTTCTCCAACGAGGTTCGAACGGACAAGATATTCTGTCGAGAGCACCCAGGAGATCTGAGCGAGGGTGCTTGCGCTTTCTGTATGCCATGCTGATGCGCGACTCAGCCCAGTATGATCTACTGTGGTTCCATGCATATGGAGGAAGATCAATCAGAATATGAGTATCTCGTGTCTCATTTAACGGGTCATTGATTGCTGAAAAGTTGACCAAGGAGCCCAGGCAGGCCAGGGTCGCAGCAACCTCTAATGCCGTTGTGACAGAATCGACTTTACGAGTCAAGCCACTCGCATATTGAATCCCTGCCGCCTCCAGTTTGTCGTCATCTTTCAGAATTTGACGGATCGGGCCCGCTAATGCTGCGTGAGGGCCAACTTCCAGCAGGACATCCACGTTGACCTTGCGTGTACCGTTTGGTCGCCTGGCCCGTCTGTTATTAGGGGCCGCAAACATCGATTTCTGAGTACTGGTTTCAAAGCAAAGCGCCCTAACGGATTCAACGAATTTGACCTGGCCGAGCAGATTTCTAGTCCAATATTGAGGACCAAGATCGGACGCTTTGACCTCAGCTCCTGTCACCGAAGAGAAAAAGGAGACAGTATGCTTTCCGGACGTGCTTCCAATCCGTGGTCGAATCTTTGATATCAGGTCAAGATATTCTCCGCCAACTAGTTCCATGTGGTGGGAATGATATGCAACATCCACTACCAGACGTCGGCAGAAGAATTCCTTCTCCTTTAATACCTTCTCAAGCTCGTCAATAGCTTCAACGTCTCCCGAGACAGTAACGCTGGACGGGCTGTTAATGCATGCCACGACGGCTTTCCCAGATTTCAAATTGTCCAGGAACGGTTCTATCTGGGTTGGAGACACGCCGGCAGCGAGCATCCCTCCTTTAACTTCTTCGTTGTGTGATAACTTGCTCGCTGCAACACCCCTATAGTATGCAACGGATATAGCATCCTCCATGCTTAGCGCTCCGATGGCGTACGCTGCGGCTATCTCACCACTAGAATGGCCAGTAACCGAGTCTGGTTGTATGTTCCATGAACTTAAAAGGTCCACAAGTGCGATTTGAAGTGCTGTGCAGATTGTTTGACTATGAAGAGGATGGTTGAGCCGGGACGCGTCTTGGTTCTCAAGAATTTCACCTGTTGCAGCACAATTAGCAGAGATTCTTTGTTAGTCGGAATGAACCTTGATTCAATGGCTCGGACTGTGTCTTACCTAGGGCGGAAAAAGGAGCTCCAAGTCGGGTCAAGTGTGCATCCACTCTTTCCATTGACTGGCGGAAGACGAGATATGCTCCCACCAGCTCCCGTCCCATCCCACACCATTGCGCTCCTTGGCCGGTGAAAAGAAAGCCAACCACTGGCTTTCGCGTGGCCTTTTTAAACTTGATACCGCTCTCCAAAGCTTTGATCACGCTGGCAGCTGAGTTGCCAGTAACCGCTGCTCGACACATCAGGGCAGTACGCCGTTGATTCAATGTGAACGCCAAACTGCTCATGAACAGATCATCAGCTATCGATTGTCTCTCGAGGAGATAGTCCCTTATGTTTTGTATCTGCTTTGCGATGGAATGATCGTCAAAACCGGAGATCATAAAGAGACGCTTCCGCTTGGGCGATTCGTTGTGCTGGCCGTTGGCAGTTTGCGATGGCTCAAGAGACTTCCTCAGGAAAGGTGTACGATGTTTGCCAACAAGTGTTTGTAAACCGTGCGATTTTAGGTATCCGTGCGTGTCTTCCAGGATAACATGTGCGTTGCTTCCCCCGTATCCGAAGCTGTTTACCGACACGCGATGAGGCCCTGTGCTTTCCCATGGTTCCGGATCGAGTTGAATCTGAAATCATTATCATGCTATTCACTCATGAGGGACATTATGACGGATCATGCCTTGAGCTTCCATTCGTCTAGCAGGATGCGCGGGTTGAGGGAAGTGAAGTTGCGGTTGGGGAGGAAGGTGCGGTTCTCGAGCATCAACACTGCCTTGATTACGCCCGCGACTCCGCTTGTTCCTTCCAGATGCCCCACGTTTGTTTTGATGGACCCAATGCGCAGTAGCCTGTCTGAATTTCTATCCGCGCAAAACACTCTCGCGAGCGCTCCTGTCTCAATTGGATCTCCTGCTTGAGTTCCTGTGCCGTGCGTTTCGACGAATTCTGTATCATGTGGATGAAGGCCTGCCATGCTGTAAACATGGCGAATCAAGGCCTCCTGTGACGCTCCACTTGGGAGAGTGATGCCGGGAGTTCTGCCATCTTGATTTGACCCAGAACCCCTAATGACGGCTCGGATAGGGTCTTTATCTCTGATGGCGTCTTTCAGCGGCTTCAAGATCAAACACCCGATCCCTTCGCCACGAGCATATCCGTTGGCATTTTCGTCGAATGTGTAGCAGCGTCCATCGGGTGACAGGAATCTGGATGCTGTTTAATTTGATGACATTCAAGTGCTTCACGCAAACCTACTTCATCATGGTCATTGTGGACATGAATTCGTGGCTGAGAATCACGTTTACTCCAGCCGCAATTGCCATCGCAGCATCGCCAGTGCGCAACGTCTGACACGCCAAATGCAGGGCGACTAGACTTCCCGAGCAAGCTGTATCAACTGTGACGCTAGGCCCCTTTAGGTCGAAGAAGTATGACACTCGGTTTGCCATCATGGCGCGCGACTGGCCGGCATTGGTGCACTGATACATGGGGATAGCATCGGGGTCGCGAAGAAGGAGATCTGTGTAGTCCGCATTGAAAGACCCAACGAAACAGGATGTTTGGCTTCCCATAATATCGGGAAGCGGTATACCGGCTGGCAAGTGTGAGTGCTATCCAACGGCCTCTATGTTGTTGGAAACAAACCGTTCTCTAGTCCTTCATAGGTCACTTCGAGCAATAACCGCTGCTGGGGATCCATCGCCTGAGAAGTGATATGATAAGCTTGATAGGACCCAATTGTACAGATACTTTGTTGAAAGGCTACAAACCGCTGCCTCGTCACTCGTCATGTTGAAAAAGGGCGCATCGAAAAGGGATACATCTTCTGTCAGAAAGTGGCCGCCTTGGACATTGATCTGCAGATACTGTTATCACATATCGCATTTGCCCATAATCGTAACTTACAGTGCCGTGCCTCGCATGGTCTGGGTGGTAAAACGCATGACTGTTCCATCTCGACTCGGGTATCTGATTCCATGCTTCCCGGCCTTCGAGGATCATTTTCCATAGCTTTTCGACGCTGCTGGCATCACCGGACCCTCGAAATCCCATGCCAATAATGGCAATAGGCATTGATGCGTCGTCCAACGAGTTTGAAGCTTTATCTTCTATGTGGACATTAGAGTGAGAAGAGAGCTGGACGGGTTCCCCAGTCTCTTCGAAGAAGTTGATAGCCATGGAAGAAGATTACGAATGCCCCATCCATATGACAACGTTGACGTCCTCTCATGTGACAGAGATTCGGCAAGGGTTCAAGACAATCATTAAATTGCAGAAACAGCAGACAAATTTACATCGCGTGGTTATTATCCGATTTTCAAACCTGAAATTCGCGATCTAACGATATCCAAATAATGCACCGTACCAGTGGATTGAGAGACACCGGCATTGAAACCAAGGAATGCAGGATAGACATGCGGAATATTCTATTCTGTGCAAGGTAGGACAGAGAGAAAAGGCAGGATACTGTCACCATATCGCCAAAGCTTCGATAGCCAACTTGCGGATACCTGCAGCCATCAAAGCGACATTTTTCTTATCGTTGGGAATATCGTGGGCCTTGGTGTGCACTATCCACGTGGACTTTGGTGGATCACACAACCTGTGCAATGCAAGCGAATACTCGGACAAGGGGTCCTTCGCCCCAGCGATGCTTACAGTTGGTATTTTGATATAACCGTCAAGGTCTGGGTCGATTACAGGGTTTTCACCAGGGTTCATGCGGAACGGTGGTAGAGAATTTATGAATATGGCGCATCGGAAAAGAGGCGGTTCATGCGGATATGTCTTCGCATGATGAATAAGGAAGCCTGAAGCCAAGGTTCCTCCGTGAGAGAAGCCTAGGATGCCATCAAAAGGACCGTCCTCGTCGATGATGTCATAGAGGAGGTTGTATGCTTCGAGCAAGGATTCCTCTTCGCTGCCGTCAGGGTCAAAAAACGACCGGGGGAACTTGTAGTAGCTGTAGTAGGGACCGTCATAGAATCCTGCGATACCAGGACCCGGCACCGAGTCAACGTCACCTTCGACAAAATGGAATGTCGCCGTGTTGTCTCGTTGGAGTTCGGTCATCAAGCCGTCTTGTCTCTTTAGTGTGTGACAGCAGAGCTGAGGGTTGTGCTACTTACTCAGCTGAGATTGCAAGATCTGTCACAATGTCAGCGAGCAGGACGAGGATGGAGTACTCGTGCCACATACCTTGATGTTCGTGCCCCAACCATGCAGGCAAAGCAATTTGAGTGGCATAGTGGCTGACTGTCAGATGGGATGTTCTTTTACCAGATCTTTTAACTAGATGAAATTCGCCCCTATACTCAATCATGACCTGGCTTGGTTTGACGAAGAGTGTTGCGATGCTTTATATCAATTTCAGCATTCCTTCTACAAGACTCTGTCGGACATTGAAACAGTCCCCTGAATCACATCGGTTCTTTCGTCCCCTGCATGCCAGGATATCTTGGGAGGTAGATGCAGCTGCCCATTCAAAAGTCACCGTCGTCAAGCTAGTACGACTGGTAAAACGTGTCCATATTTTGCCGAGTCTGTATTTCGTGTCATCGTTGATCTTTCTAGTCGACAAGCAAGCTCCTTTGGTTCGGTGTGATTTGACTTTTTGTCGGTTTGTTTGTGTCTGTGTTTTGTGGTATATATTTCAATGAAGTCACTGTCGCTTAAGACGCGAAAGCGTTCCTGATATTCTGCTGGCTATGTTATTCTCTCTAAATTCGAGCTCGATGATTGTTTTATATTTCATATGCATCTTCACGCATCTTCGATGGATTTGTGTTTCGTAGCGCCCCTTCTCAGCGAGGCGGACAATGACGTTGGTGCATATCGATCGATCGGATGATGGACTTGAACAGAATACATAAAATCCCTACACTTCGCGACATAGAAACTTGTAAAATTTCCGAAGAACAAGGATCGACATTCTACTCGGAAAATATCTTTCAACCTCAAGCACGATGTCGTGGTCATTTGCACTCCCTCAAGATTTTTTCACCTCACCGGTCCTGGCAGTAGCGACGCCTATCGGGGTGGGATCCCTGGTGGGATATCTGGTCAACAGTATGCGTCCTCTTCATCGGCGATAGATAAGATATTACTAGTCTTTTTATGGCAGACCAAACTGGCCGATACTTACTCCATACCTCTAAAGAATTAGGCCGCACAAAAGACCTCTACAGCCGCCTCCGCCAACCGCCCCTACGCCCTCCCGCCTGGGTCTTCGCGCCAGTGTGGACCATCCTCTACGGGATGATGGGCTACGCGGCCCACCACGCAACAACCTCCGCGACCCTCCTCACACCCACAACGGCAGTGGCCTCGTTCCAAACGCTGTACACGACGCAGCTGGTCCTCAACTACCTCTGGATGCCGTTGTTCTTCGGTGTGCGGAAACCTGGGTGGGCCCTTGCGGATATCGTAGCTCTGGGCGGTACGGTCGGGAAACTGATGGCAACGTGGTGGGATATCGATCGCACTGCATTCTGGATGATGCTTCCATATGCAGGATGGCTCTGCTTTGCGACGTACCTGAATGTTAGCGTTGGGTGGTTGAACAAATGGGATTTTGACAGTCGTGACGGTCGATAATTGCATGGTACAGAATCCAGTATTCCAAGGCCATAATAGAGAGGTAGTCTAATAATCATCATTCACATGCACTCTAGAGTATTCCGCCGAGTGTTGGACAAAAATAGAACACATTTTTGATGCGAAGTCGATCTGTTTCGTTGATCCTGCGAGAGTACTCCACAGGCAGGTAGCACGGATCTGGAGTCTGGGCTTGGACTCAGGTCTGGACTCTGTGCTGTGGACAATGGTGATCTGCTTGAGGTGGATAATTTGCCGGGTAAATTGGGCTACCTTGGGATTTATGACAAGTTCAACAGCCCATCAGAATGCTCTGATAGACCACATTGCCGGTCGAGCCCGCTGCAGCCACGACGCAAGTCTCGGAAGTCAGAGATTTTCTCTGCAGCTTCCACCGCAGCGTCGGTGATTCGTTGTGATTCGGTCATCTTTGCCACTTTCCATTCCGGCCCACAGCCAAGCATCTTATTCATCTTTATGTATCATGATTGTGCCAATGGTTCTCCACCGGTTGCGTGGATTGCAGTGTCATTGAGTTATGGGTCTTTGAGCGTCGAGTCCTTTGACACTACTGATTGAGTCACCTCTTTGGAAATGGAGGATCAGTAGTACTAGACTGGTTGGGTTCTAGACCAGTAGATTATCGACACCACACATCAACAATCACCAGGCTAATAAAATATAGCGATCTTGTGCTGCATGAAAACCGTTGTAGATTATCAAGACGAGAAACTATAGTAAGGGTGCTATTGATAAGGATCATCTCTCCAAGACCCTCCGAAACACTGACAGGTCAATCATGCCCCTCCATGAGATCATCGTCTTCTTGTCATCTCTTCAACCTCACAACAATGAAAGTCTGCGCCGAGACTTTGACTTGTTTCTTTAAAAAGTCAATGGCTTCTTTCAGCTCTTGCGAAACCTTCCGTCTTTGGGACGAAGAAAATCTGTTCTAGACTCGACTTATTTTTGGTTCGCCTCTCCCACGCCCTCCCGCTCAGTCTTATCTCTGGTTCCTCTCCACACTCGTCCATCCTCTCTGCTTCTCGCTGCCTTTCGTTAACCCATTAACACCACTGCATTTCTCAATTTGTCATATCATTACGCCATCCATTGTATGTATTTGCACGGTGACTACGGAGTAGTCGTTTTAATCTCTATCCGATCCTCCACCGTTCATCCAGACATTCGTTCATCGCCTTCTGCCCCGTACACTCTCTTCCTGGCATTTCTATCAAGTTTATTGCGACGATAATTGACATCTGGAGTGCATTTGCCTCCCAATGTCGGAGACTCACCATGATAACGGAAGCTACGAGTTGCTCACGAGTCCAGAGTCTTTAGGGCGAAACACCGTTGAGGGCCGCAACGGTCATGTCCGCAGTCACTCACAACCGGCCAACGCCGAGTCGCTGGAGAGACACCGCCTGGGATTACCTGGCGAACTCTCACGACCGCATCGAGTGAGGTTTCGATCTATCAGCCAACATCGCGATGCCGACAATACCGAGACTACGGAGAGAGTCTACTCGAATACCTCCGACGGCTCCTCGCGGACGCTGCTCAATTCCCTACCACGATCCACGGATGTTACCGATATGCTAAAAGCAGAGAAATTCGATTATGAGAAGGATATAACATCGAGATATGATGGGTCGGGTTACTCCAGCGCCCAATACCCGCCTTCTACACCCGAACGCATCTCCGAAGACTCCACAGCCAGGGAGCGAACGAAGTCTGTCAAACAAAGATGGAAGGAGGCAGGTCAGTTGATTAGGCAAAAGACGGTCCGTTTGGGAGAACGCCTGGGTAGACCGCTGGATGACGGTGAGGCACTGGGAGTCTCCCTTTTGCCTGAGGACCTGGAAGAGGGGACGCCGATACGCAGGTTCGATAGCGAGTACCGCATGGGCGACGATATGGACGACGAGAACCGACCCAACCCCAGTGCGGAGGCGCACCGTCTCGTCCGACGAATAACTCAACGCAATAATCTGCGCCATCGCAAACCTAAACCCGCCTACCAACGTTCTGGCCAGAGCACTCCCGAGCGTCCTAGTTCGTGGTACGATTCGTACCGTCCTCTCTCCTTTAGTGGAGGCGGCGGCATCTTGTCTCAACTGCTTAAGCTGCAGGCTGCGCAGAATGAAAAGGATGGTCTGTCGGCCACGGATGATTCTGACGATGGCTCTCCCCTGTCCTCGGGAGCTACAACGCCCAAGTCAGGATCGGCAACTCCCAAGTCGGGTGCAGTCACGCCTAAGAAGGAGAAACTGAAATGGTATAAGAAACCGCACCATCGATCAACTGCTTCCCTGGTGGAAGCGTCGATGAACTTAAGTCGGGCCACCTTACCGTCGTCCGCCGACGTTCTGTCAATGACACAGCAGCAGAAGCGGGGGAAGAAGAAGCCTTATCGCAAGCATCGGTTGGAGGACGAAATCAAGGTGACCGTGCATATTGCAGAGATCCTTGCACGGCATCGATATATCATGCAGTTGTGCCGTGCCTTGATGCGGTATGGTGCGCCAACGCACCGATTGGAGGAATACATGACCATGACGGCGCGGGTCCTGGAGGTCGAGGGACAGTTTCTGTATCTGCCTGGTTGTATGATCATGTCCTTTGATGACCCTGTTACTCGAACGGCCGAAGTAAAGCTGGTTCGTTCGGTCCAAGGGGTCGATTTGGGACGATTGGCTGAAACGCACAACGTTTACAAAAATGTCGTTCACGATCTGATCGGAGTCGAAGAAGCCATCCAGGAACTTGACGAAATCATGAAGCGCAAACCGCGTTTCAATAAATGGATCTTGGTTCCAGTCTACGGTCTGGCTGGCGCCGCGGTCGGCCCCTTCGCCTTCGACGCCCGGCCCATTGACATGCCTATCATCTTCATTCTGGCGTCGCTCGTCGGTCTGATGCAACACGTCGTATCTCCCCGATCCACCCTCTATTCCAATGTGTTCGAAGTGACAGCAGCAGTGTTGACCTCGTTCCTGGCGCGGGCGTTCGGCTCGATCCGTATAACTGTGGACGGCCAAAAACAGTCCCTCTTCTGCTTCTCCGCTCTGGCACAATCCTCCATCGCCCTGATCCTACCCGGTTTCATGGTCCTGTGCAGCAGTCTTGAACTCCAATCCCACCAGATGATTGCTGGTTCCATCCGCATGGTCTTCGCTATAATCTACTCCCTCTTCCTCGGCTACGGCATCACAGTCGGCACCACCGTCTACGGCCTCATCGACGGCAACGCTACCTCCGAAACCTCCTGCCGCGACCTCTCCATCTACGGCAGCAAGTACATACAACACTTTGTCTTCATCCCCATCTTCGTCATCTGCCTCGCGGTCATCAACCAAGCCAAATGGAAACAAGTCCCCGTCATGATCTTCATCGCAACCTGTGGCTACATTACCAACTACTTCAGCACCACCAAGCTCGGCTCCCGCTCCGAAGTCGCCAATACCGTTGGGGCATTCACCCTCGGCATCCTGGGCAATCTATATAGCCGCTTATGGCACGGCCACGCGGCCACCGCCATTCTACCGGGTATCTTCGTCCTCGTGCCGTCGGGTCTGGCATCCTCGGGCTCCTTGATCGCCGGCATCAACTATGCGAATGAAGTCCGGCAGAATCTGCATAAAAGCGGCAATGGCACCGACACGAGCAGCCAGGATACATCTATCGCTAGCTTAGGTTTTGGTATGATCCAGGTGGCGATCGGTATCACTGTGGGATTGTTCATTGCGGCGCTGGTTGTATACCCATTTGGAAAGCGCCGGAGTGGGCTTTTCAGTTTCTAGTCATTTCTTGCTACGTGATTTGATATGTTTTTAGCGATTTTGGGATTAATGGGGGTTGTATTTACGGTTTGAGATATCCTTCATTTGAGCGAGTACTTGGCGAGACATCATATAGATCCATGATTCCTTTTGATGAATACATTAATTATGAGGTGTTATATTTTTTACTAGTTTCAGGATATGCTAGGCTCTTGAAAGAATAGCGGGATTTCCTTCGAATCGACGGCTCTCAAGTACGTAGAAGTGACGAGTTTCAAGAAATGACTATCCGCGAGAGCTTTGTACGAACTCTGATCATCTCAAATCTATGCCGAGGAGTGTATTAAGTATCATAGTATTACAACACGTCCCTGACGCTAGACTTCTGCTAAAAGAAGACCATCGAGAATCTGTCCCTGCAGATGACTCAACTCCTCATACGACAGATACTCCTTCTCGGCATCGAGTCTCTTCTTCGCATCTAAGGCCCATTCCAGCCGGGATTCAATCTCGGAAGGCACAGGTGCAAAGTTCAATGAAGGCCTTGAGGTTGCTGGTTTGTTCACCCCTGGTGAGTCCTGCTCCCGGGGTAACCGAGCCCCATCGGGCAAGGGAGGGGTTTGCGTGGAACCTGGGTCCAGTAACCCCTGGTCACTACCCACATCGTTGCCTTCACTGGGAGTCTCGTTGTTGTCACTGCTGCTGCTACTACTGCTGCTTCTTTGCCTGCTGCCCCGGTGCCTGCGGGGTTTAGGCGCGTTCCGCGCGTCTGGGGTTGATGTGGTAGGGTGTGCGATGGTGGGCCTGGCTGGCACCACGACAGCAACTGCCGGGTACTGGGATTTCGGAGGCGGTGGGCCTGGTTTGTGTTCGAATGCACGGATGCCATCGGGTAGAGTTTCGATGACAATGTTCCGCTCCTTGAGTTTGGTCGGACAGATGTCGCTTTGGCCGGAATGTCCGGGCTGCCTGCAGACGGAACAGTGGGCGTGAATACCGTCATCTTTCGGGGGTTGTTTGGATGGGTGCATTGATGGTCTTCCTCTACGTTTCGCGGCTGGAGCACTGCACTGGTCAAAGTTGTCGAGGTCTCGCAGTTCGAGCGGCATTGTAACGCCGGTGTAGATCTGTTTGTATGTGCTGATGTGATACGCCGGGGGGACGAAGTCGTCGATGGGGCGAGAAGTGGTAGCAATGGCAGCGAGGGCGTGACGGCATGGTAATTGGAGATCCTGCCAGTCGAGGCAGCTGCATGTCCGAGCATTCAGATCTACGATGTAGCCTACGGCTTTGTTGAACACCGTGAACTGCTCCTGCGAATTTGCCACTGCTGTATAGGTCCGACTGAGCTGCTTTTGCCGCACAATCCATTCCTGAGCAAATTCGGTCAAGGTGTTTGATTGCTCGAACTCCATCTCCCGGCAGTGATGGAGTCGGTCGGTGATGTTGAGCCAGATTGAATACAAGGCACGTAGGACGGGCAAGTTGCGGGTGTTCAGCCATAAGAAGTGCATAGACTCCATTGTGGTCATGGACAGTTGGTCATACCGAGGAACGGGCAAGGCGTGCTTGGCCCATCTTTGTCGTGGGATCGACTCGATCCACTGCTTCGCGCGCGGGTGTTTGATTTGAGCCATTGCCTGCGTGAACACAGGTTCCGATTCCGCTCGCGCAGCTTTCCAGAATTGCTTGCGGACTTCCTCCTCGGGTCGAAACTTTTCCATTAGAGTTTGAGAGAGATATTCGCAGCAATACATCATGGCAACAGCAGGTAGTTCTTGGGTGACGGCATCGTCAATCTCCAGCCTAGGGTTAAGCAACAGCGCAGTACGCGGACTATCAATTTTCGGAAAAGCTAGGCGCATATGAAGCAGGAAGAAAGCCCAAGATTCCATCTTCTCATCGGGAACAACCGCCCACGCCAGTGGCAGAACTTGATCATTCGCATCTAATGTCGCAGCAACAAGAAGCGAAAAGTCCCACTTCGTCTTCCACGGCGCGCGGTCAATGGTCAAAAATCGACGGCAGTGAGTATAAGCGTTCAACGTCGCGGCCGGCGCAACAAAACAGCGATGAAAAATGTCGTTCTTGGTCTCCAACTTCCAGTATCCGGCCTGATCGACCTTGGCAAGCCTTGACAAGAACGCGGGTAGCTTTTCGAAGGATTCAGCTGCGTCTCCGTACAGATTGCGCTCAATCGCTTTCAGAGTCCGATATCCCTGGTGGTATTGGATCGGATTGCCTCTGCGCCGCTCAATCTCCAGGATCTGGGCAGCGGTCGGTTGCGAGCTTCCTTGGACGAGAGACTGGTAAGTCGGTACGAGATAATTGATTGATGCTGCTGGACGCCAATTACCATGCGTGTCTGGGCTGCATGTATGCGGTCTGTACATCGATACGAATGCCTCGCATCGCTTCTTTCTCCAGCTGATTCGAACCATGTAGTTGCAGTCGCGGTTGCGACAACGGGTCATATACCGCCTTGCGTCCGATTTGTACACCCGGTAGGATTCGTGCTTGGCAATTGTATGGCAAAGCAGAGCTTCGCGGGCTTCCTCCATTGACGGATATATCATTCCCACCTCGAAAACGGCGCCAGTCCCCGAAGGACGCGGGGGAGCGGTGGAGGGTGTCTGTCCCTGTGGGGGTTTCGATTGCGAATATGTCGCCTGCGGAAAAGTTGTATTCGGCAATCCGGCGGCATCATGAGGGATTGGGACAGGCTCAGGCTGAAGCCCTTGAAGTTGCGGAGCAGATTGCGCTGGATACGGAGATCTTGGGACTGGTTGCCCTTGTGCATTGTGTATTTTAGGGCGAGTGGCATAAGGTATCGGCGGAGGTACAGGGCTTTGGTTTAAAGATTGTGTAGAAGGGGGTCTCGGAGAATGATGGGCGGTCAAAGAAGGATGCAAAGGTCTCTGAGAAGGAGTAGCTGACGATGTGGAGGGACGGCTTCCGTTCTGGGGAGGAGCTGAAGGTTGTAACTGTTTGGGATCCAAGCCTCTTTGAGGATATCTCGTCGCCAATGCTGTGGGTGTCAAAGTTGGCATCCATACATTCCCTTTTTGCTTTGGCCGGCCCGTCGTGGAAGGTGTCGAAACAGGAGTCGCGGCAGGAGTGGAAGAATTTCTGGCAGAAAGACTATTTGTTTGTTCATGAGGCGACCTATATGGGGACGATTGCCCCGGTTCGGCGGTCATCTTGATGATTACCGTAAATGGATAGTCGATGGTGTGGCATGGAGGTCGAGATATCCGGGATTTTGTGGCAGTGATTTTGCTAGCTTGAAAATCTCACCGATGATTGGTCAGAGATGACTTCCTGAATTGGAATATTTGGTAATGTCACGTGATACAAGGGGCAAGAAGGGGGGTCGGGAGAGAAAACACGATCGACAATACAGAGTTGTAGAAGAGACGAAGCCGTTCAAAAATATTTGCCCGGAAATTTTTCATCCTACCAGTCAATTGTTTTAAGAAATCTACTTTCCCCCACTGCAGGTTTTCCGACTGCTGAACATCTCTCGAATCAAGATGTCATGGCAGGTTTCAAACGGGATATATATTTGTACACCGACCGGTACAGGGGGGTGTTGGAACTACTCTTATGCTCTTTCGATTCCTGTTTCTTTCTGAACACTCCTGTAGAACCTTAAGGCTTATTCTGCTGTTGAAGTGTAAAGCATTCTCATTGCACATATATGCTCTATTTATCTATTGGAACCATACAAACGCTCAGTACTCCAGTGTCTGCTTGATAGCATCATAAATTCCTGATATGCGTCAGCACTGAGTTGCTCATTATGAACAAATAAGCAGGGGGGTTGGTGATCACTTACTCGCGACATCAGGTAAGATGAGTTTCTCAAATGTAAGGCCAGTGTGGGTACTCCACCCAGCTACTCGCTTCACTGGAGCTTCCAGACGCAAGAATGCGCCATCTTGGATGGTAGCAGCGACTTCAGCACCGACGCCGTAGTTGATCATGCTCTCATGCACCACGATAGCACGTCCGGTTTTCTTCACGCTGTCGAGGACAGTTTGTCGGTCCCAAGGGTATATTGTTCGGAGATCGATGAGTTCAACGCTGGCGCCCATGTCCTTTTCGATAGCACTGATGGCTGCAGAGCAGAGGTACATTGGTTGACCGTACGAGATGACTGTCACGTCATTCCCTGGTTTGACCACTTCCGCTTTGTTAAGGGGTATTGTGTAGAATTCATTTGGGACGTGCTCGACTGCTGCGCGGTACAGAATCTTGGGCTCCATAAAGATGACTGGGTTGTTGCTCTGGAAGATGGCGCTCAGGAGGAGGCCCTTTGCTTGTGAGGGAGACCGAGGCATGACCACTTGGACACCGGGGACATGGGCGAAAAGGGATTCGGGAGATTGTGTATGGTATCTGTACTCAGAGTCCGATTAGCGATCGCTGCATTCCAGCAACGCAATGGCGGTTCAACTCACAGGGCGCCGTGTCCGACTGCACCACACGGCATTCTAACCACCATTCCCCCAACGTTCACACCTGTACCTCCCTCTCGGTACCTGAATTTTGCAGCTTCGTTCACTATCTGGTCAAAGGCAGGAAAAACGTAATCTGCGAACTGGATCTCGGCAACAGGCTTCATGCCTTCCGCTGCAGCTCCAATAGCGAACCCTACAATACCCTGCTCCGTCAACGGGGTATTGAATACACGCTCAGATCCAAACTCTGTTTGCAAGTCCATCGAGCACCGAAACACTCCGCCGAATGCTACATCCTCGCCAAAAAGCATCACCCTGTTATCCGTAGCTAGGGCGGTTCGCAACGCGGAATTGATAGCTTGGTATAGATTGAGTGATTTGGTGGTCGTCGAGCCGGGAAGCTCTAGAGCGCTCGATAGTGAGGACGAGGTATGGTGCAGGAGAGGCGTGGATTTGTAGTCGATGGGTAGATTGAGCCGTGATGAGGATGATGGAGCGCCCGAGTACAACCGGCAGGGCGGTTGTCGTAATAACCTCTTGACAGAGGGTCGGAGAGAAGCCATGGCTGGATGGATAGTAAGGGGGAAGATAGGAGGGAGGGTGGAAATACAGGACAAATGACCGCGAGAGGTCAAAATTAAAGACTTGCTTGGAACATTCCCCTGGGCGATTTATACGCCAGTCTCTCAGCTGGGGATTCTCATTTCATCATGCGGGGAATCTGGAGAATCGCCGCGGGTAGCCGAGCGTGGGTGCCTGGATGCCTGGCGCATGTTTTGGCGCCGACATCCTCAGGCAGCTGCTCATTGGTCAATTCTTGTAAATCATCACATTAACAATGATCATAAAATGTCAGCTGCAGAAGGAACTGGATTTGTTGGAGAGAATCATCTTCAAACAAGTGCATTGTAGAGATTCTACCTTACTCGCTCATTGGTACACAATTCGGCCTGTTCTGCATCTGCTCCATCCGCTCCAGCATGATCCGCCTTGCTCTCTCCGCTTGGTCCTGGGTATCAATATCCCAAAGCCACCGTAACCGTTCTTGAAAGGTTGATCTCAACTTTTCCTCGTCATCTTTTACTCCATCCAGGCGTAAGCACAACAGGAATGCATTCTCTTTGCTGCTGGTTACCACCCTCTGACTGCGCGGCCGTCGTACTGCATCGTATGCCTGAAATGCTGCGATGACATCACTTGCTTCGATTACTCTGGGATCCCCAAGGAGCTCTGCCAGTACGTGTGCATCCTCAATTGCTTGTCCTGCTCCTGCTCCTTGATGTGGGGTGGAAGCATGAGCCGCGTCCCCGAGAATCGCTGTACGCGATCTCGCGAAGGTGGACAAATGCGGATGATCAAATATAGCCCACTGCGAGGGATCCGGCATATACTGTCACGTTACACTATCAGCAGGAGGCACTGAAAAGTTGGATGATTTTGTCCCTCATACCTCGACCAGCCGATTAACATATTCTCCCATATGCTTCATGTCCCTCCGCATATCCTCCTTGCTAGCCGGACGAACCCAAGCTTTGTCGTCCCACTCATCATGCAGGATATAGAGACCTACATTAACCTTCTTCGCGTGCATGATGGGATACGAAATCCCATATGCACCGTCCCCAACATACATGGTCGCTACTCGAGCACGGTGGTCACCGACCGCTTCGACCATGGTCTCCATGTCCAGGACTGCGCGATATCCGTACATTCCGCTGTACCGTGGCATAGTCTGCTCATACTCGTCCGGTAGCATGAACTCCTTGACTCTTGAATGTATCCCATCACAACCGACCACCACATCCGCGGTTGCAGAGGTACCATCTTCAAAGTACAGATCCACCCCGATCGGCGATTCAACTAGCTTGATCAACCTCTTTCCAAAGTGCGCAATCTCAGGTGGAACCAGCCCAACCAAGGCATCCAAGAAATCCGCTCTCCGTACAGTGGTTTGCCCTGACGGCAAGGCCTTCAAGTCCATAAGAATCTGACCAGATTTCGGACCTGACGCCCAGACAACTTCAAACCAGGTCTGTTTGAAACGCTCATACCCAGGACTGTCGGCATGGGTCGTGATGAGTGAATCGTATATCTGGCGGATCTGGGGATCGATCAACCGCATCGCACGGTGAGCCGCTGGCCCTATCGTCAAACCCAGCCCGATCTCTTTGAACTCCGCCGCGGCCTCATAGATTTGAACAGGCACATTGCGGCGCAAGAGTCCTGCAGCCAGCGTGAGGCCTCCGATTCCGCCGCCTACAATTGCGACGGTAAACTGCTTTTCAGTTGAGGCCATGTTGTGGAATGCTGTCGTACAATACTCTGCAGATTCTTCCTCGTATCGAGTTACCGCCCAGAGCTGTCTAAATGACGAGAGACTCAGGGGGACATGGGCTGTTGGACTTTTTGCAAATTGCAGTCATCAATCGCTTATGTGATCAGAAAGCGCCAACATTCATTGGCTATTCACTCCAATCAGTCAGGATGATCGCTATCGTCGTGAAATGGCCGAGTGTCAATGCTAAGCCGCATGCTGGCCGCATGTCAATCCCGCTAAAAGCGGGGTTGACGGTAGCTCTGATGGTTAAATTCTACTTTGGTGTTTTTTCATGCTGACAATCAATATAACTGCGTGAACCTGACAAAAATCTGACTCCCCATGTGAGCAGTATGGTCTTCAAACTGCATTGAGTTGTTCCAGACTGCTAAGCACGCGGATCAGGAAAAAGGGGTTGGGATGGATTTTGCTACGATGATCCGATGCCATCTCAAAAACCCAGGAGAGGGGCATTAACATAATATTATAAATTGAACTCCTCAGAGACGAGTTTAATTTACCTAAGCTCCTCTCTCCAAGCAGCTGAATTCCGACAGCCTAAGCTTGTTTCATCTTGACAGTAATGGAGTCAAAACTGGCGGAGTTAGTTTCAAAGTGATGAGTTTGTCTCAGTGTCTCGCACTAAGCACAAAAAGCACATTAAACAACAGACACTTCCAGGACAAAATTACGAATACGACAGTCGCCAGCAGAATGGCCGTCTGGATTGACTCAATATGAAGCTTAGTGCAGATTCTATTTCTGCATTGCCGTCTCGAGGGTGATAAGCTTATATATACCGTCTTCTCGCACTCTTTCCGATCATCATTCTTGTAATTACAGTAGATCTGGCCATCTACGTTCGTTCTTTCTTCAGTACCATTACATTCATTTCTTGCTTGACATTCGCGCAATAATATACAGAATGCACTACGCATACATTTCCATTCCCTTAACCCTAGCCCTGGGGGCTACGGCCTCCATGCCCGCCGACTCCTGGGTCTTTGGCAACAGTCTTTTCTACCTCGGTCCTCCAACTGGCGCTTCCATCACGAAAGCAACCTACTCGCTCGTCCCACCGGACGTCCCATCCGGCGTGAAGGTGTCTCAACCCTCCGACCAGGTCTGGGTCTCCGTCTGGGTGGGAGCCTCTTCCACGAACGGCGACCAAAACGCGAACTTGTACCAGCCGCTGCTAAACTGGTCTCCAGACCAAGAGTCTCAGTATGTTTCTAACTTCATATACTGGACATGAAGCTGACAGTAGGTATAGGGGCTGTTCTGCGAATAACACCGAGTGGTGCGTGGCTGCTAGCACTTATACTCCTGGTAAGTTCTTTCCGATGAGTATCAACTGGCTTGGGTGCTGAGTGTATACAGAAAGTCAGATCGGACAGACGTATGTACCTGTGCCACCAAACACCAACCTCGACTTTGAGAGTAAGTGCTTCCCTGCAACTCAGCTAGCTAGACGAACACTAACCGGCGCAGTCTCCGTCGAGAACAACAAGGTCTACCAGACCGTCACCATGAACGGCCAGGTGATCTCGCAGCAATCAGACGGTAAGCATCAAATCATCCGTCTTTCAGCTGATGGACGCTAACTGAAAGCACCACAGCCCTCGACAGCGGCCTTAAATACCTCTACTCGCAGAACGAGTGCTACACTGGCTCAGGCAACTGCGGCGTTGTGCAGGGTTATAGTAAGTGCCTTCCTGGTATTTACAGCGGTACGGAAGAAAGCTAATATGACAGACATCACCAACCTGACGGTCACCCTCAGCGCCGCTGATGAATCGTTCGGCAAGACCATGGCGCTGTATTCGGCCACTGACGCTGGCTTCGCCACGACTGATAATGGCAAGACTTGGTACACGGACTATATTGCCACCCAGGCGATTGACTTTGATTCTTCGTCGGATGCTAGTGTCCAGGAACATTGATAGTGCATTGCTATGCAGGAAGGGTTGGGGTAACGCCGAGGACAGTCTAAGCGAACAGCTTTCATCACTATCAGTGGCGCTACAGCGGCTGGGGCGTGATTATCGTGATACAAGTTCCTGTATATATCGAACTTCTAATATGTGTATAAATAAGAGAAAGCATGGGAATACCACGCGGTGGGTGATATCTACCAGAGAATCACCAAGTCTATATAAGCCAGATCTTGCGAGTAGACCAAGGAAAACATTGCGCACAACCAGTATGTCTAAACGGAACCATTCTCATCGTTATCACCAAAGGCCACCAGCTGGTACTCATTCGGCCGACGACGGCGTCGAGAAAAGATCCGAAAACAGCCGCAACACAGGTAAAGACCGAGTAACAGACCCCCGACACCGACAATAAAAGCAGCAGCCACAATCCAGTTGTGCAGGTCAAGAAGTTCATCCACATCGGCGCCTTGATCCGTCTGAAGGACTTCGGTGTACCCCAACACCTTGCCGTCGGCATCCAAAGCCGCCAGGCGGAAAAGCGGACTGCCCAGTTCCTCGGGAATTTCAATCTCCGTCTCGAACCCGGTCTTTGCGAACTGAGCGATCACGTCAAACGTGCTATCCTCAATAGCGCGCGTGTCCCAGACTTCCAGTCGCCAGGCTACCACCTCCGTTGCACCGTTCCAGCTCACGTACACATGGTCGCCCATGACCGCCGCGTCGGGGATTGTGTGTGGTCTGCCCACCCAGGTACCCTTGGACGCACGATAAGACACGACCCGACCGAAGGAGAAGAACGCAGAAGCGCCAAAGTGGACGTCGCAGAGCAAGTCCCCGTCAGCAGTGTACTCCGTAAAAGCTGCGCTGTGGCCCCAGCCAACCAGGACCCGGCCACTTTCATCCAAAAGTTGGACATTCCCTTGCGATACGGCCCTCATCTGTTGAGGATGGTAGTATTCGGCGAGCAGCTCGGCTGTGCGGCCGGAGATATCGAGTTGGATGGCCAGGCCCCGACTTTCACTGTCCGGATCGCTGCTTGAATGCGCAGCGTTGTCAAATAGTGTAATTGTGTTGTTGGCGTGCCACCGGGCATCGTGCTGCCAGGCGAAATTTGTGGCTTGTCCGTTAGACAAGTCCGTAAATTCGTTCAACTTGCCGCCTAGAGTCCATAGCACGTCCCCAGTGACGTGGTCGATGTAGCTGACGGCATGGAGATGTCTCGCAGAGACAAGATAGTTCCCCTGCTCATCTTTATCGACGCTGTTTATGTGAAAGTAGTCGAACGCGTGATTCCTATCCTTCCCCGCTGCGTTCAGTGGTTCGTAGGTGCTCTTGACGGGGTAATGCTTAGACGCGCGCCATTCGAAAAGCAATTCGCCTGTCTCGATGTCGATCTCTTGGAAAATACAATCAAGGATCCAACCTAGCTCCGGTCCTCCTATGGAGGTCAGCTCTGCGGGAACAGGGTCGTAAACAGTGACAAGAGCTGTCCCCTGCTCGGTGATGTGGAATTCGTGCAGATCGCCGCCCCCGAAGTTGCCGACGGGGGATATCTGGTATTTCTGGGTGTAGGTCGAATCGAGCTGCAAATGGTGAGCTTAGCCTTCTTGTTTTCTCATCATCCGGAACACTAAATGCAGGCCACCGACCATGTACCATGACCCGTAGCCACGACTTTCCACTTCAGTCCCTTCCCAGTATGTCAAGTAATCTGCGCCATTGTATCGCTGTACTTTGAAGTCCTGCGTTGTATCCCAATTATACTTCATCCACACCAATTCGCCATCAGCGTCCAGAATGACGGGCCCAGGGTGGGCGACTGAGTCACCGCGAGGAGCAAGAAACGTATACCGCGAATCGCATCCGGAACCCCATTCTGTGATGTCTACCATAGGAGACTCATACTCCAAAGATACGTAGCTACGCGAAGGACCGAAGCCGTAGAATCCAAGATCATACGGGCTTAAATCGAGCCGAAAGCGGAACCGAAGCAACTGAGGAACGGCGAAGACGTAGAACAGGTAGAGGAGACAAACGGAGACACCAGCAACGGTGGGAATCAGGCAGGAGGACCTGCTCCGGGATTTCGACTGGAGGGATGGATCAGGTAGTGTTGAGAAGTGGCGGCGAAAGCATGCAGGAGCCCAAGTCCAAGAGGACATTGGGAGACGGTGGACCAACGTTGAGAGGAGGTTTGTGAAGAGCTTGCAGAGGAGAGAACGGAATGGAGATTCACATGGTAACGTTTAATATGAGACTCGAACTCATGGGAATAGGGCCAATAGTTGGCGCTCGGAGCACTCTTATCATACTCAATCCCCCTCACATCGTCAGGAGTCTGTAAATCTTTCTCTCGGACGACAAGCTTATTGATAGCGTCTGCGAGAGACACAGCAAATTAGAACCCCTAATTGGTCACTGCGGATTCCAGATTCGGGTGATCAACGTTGGCTGATGACGCCGGCCACGAGTCCTCTAAGCCGCACTCGAGCATCGGCAAATTGCACGGCTCCACTCGGGAGGAGAGCCAGTTTGATCGTCCATATCGGATGAATAGTCCGAGAACGAGACATTGAATTTGTCTAACCCCTTTCTGACGGAGATGATCATAAGAAGATTACTGAGATAAAACACATTAGCATTCAATAAAAGGACGAAGAGGGACTTGAGAGTGAGTAGTTTAAGGGACTGGCCAGGGGCGTTCGGCTAACCAACCACAGCAGACAAGCCGGCGTCGTCATCATCTGAACAAACGTAAGCTCCACCACGTAAGGACTTCAAGAAAAGTGATTTGCAGCCGGCACCATGGCGCTAGCTGAAAACTAGTTTAATACGCCTAGTCTGGTGTTCCGAGAAGCTATTCATGTCATGTTGCGACCGCGATTCATGATTGGGGCGACGATGCCTCAGGCGCCGACTCGATATTGAAAGTCGGCGACCGTCATTGGTCATTGTGTATTTAAGGTTGAAGACTGATCATGGAATATTTACCAGTCATGAAGGAACGGGGAAGTCATCTGTAGGTTGGATGCCGTAAGGTCTTTGGTGCATCTCCTCGGCTGTGGGATGCTCAGAAACGAAGCATCTATTCAATGAGATATGTGCCCCTTTCGGCAAACTTCCCCCTAATTTAGTTGTGGCTATGCAGATAACCGCAAGGCCGCGTTTCGCAATCCACTCGGCAATGCTGTGATAACCGCATTGACATTCAAATCGTTATCATAGCTTGCTTCATGCCGCCTTGACAAGAGGCTTCGAGGAAAGTCAAGTCGTATTGAGCATACCTGGGGAATGCATATCCCTTCCATCCAATGAAAGAATCCCTGGATTCTTCGCGGCATTGCCCGACAATTTAACCCTTTTCAACCCTGTTCAAAAGAACTTTCTTCGGATGATTGCAAATCACCACATTCAACCAAACAGGTTACATGGCGTATACCTCGTTACTCCAAAAAGGAATGGAGCTTATCGGAGAGATGGGAAAACCTATATTCTTATCGCTCCTTTGGTACAGCGTAGTATCCCTAACGTCTGGACGGCGCATCAGTAGGACAATGAAAATGCTCAGTTTGTTATCAAACATCCGCAGTCTGATGACAGCCCCGAGAAAGATGGCCATCTTTTCGAAAAGAGATGGAGATGCAAAGCCTCTTCCGGCCTGCAAAATTCATCCGCAAGATGGTCGATGTCATTCCCCCGCGTTCTGACATGGAGCCAACAATGATGGTTCTAGAGCCGTTTGAAAGACTCTCTGGTCTGCGCGAAGACGACGACCACTTACAACCCGCAAAATCAAGCATATCATGAAATTGGCACTTCTAGGTTTACGGGAAGTCCATGGGAAGGGTCTCGTCTACTGTGGTACGTTTCCAGTAAGGAGCGAACAGTCCAGAAACAAGCTCATATGGACAGACTTCAAGATGGAAAACGTTCTTCTAAATGGATTCGATGCAAATCCAGCTAGCGATGATGTGGCGATTGCTTTGAGAATCAATTTGAAGTTGGCAGATCTTGGTTCTGGTAAAAACTGGACAAATCCAACGCTTACTGCTACTGATAACTGTTAACACGTCCTTCTAGTCATGGCGCCCGACCGAAGTGAAGTGACTTCCATCACATACAGGAATCCGGAAGTCTACTTGGGCAAGGCATGGACAAGTGCCATGGATATCTGGGCGTGGGGAATTGCAGTAAGGAGCTCAACAGCTTTGAGTATGATGGATGTGCTAACCAATGGCCCCAAAATTACTTCCAACTCCTCCAAGCGCAGATTGATTTACATTCACCTGGTATATATGATTCGGTGATCAAAGAAGGCACACTCGAACAGAAGGCGGAGACGGTCCGAGCGTGTCAGTGCCATGATTTTGACCTTCGTTCGCTTGAATACTTTCAGGATTGTGATTTTTCTGCTGTTGATGATCTCGGAGTAAACGGTGGCCTGAATTCTGGCGACGAACATTGGACCGATCGCTTGGTAGCATTAGGCATTCCCGAGTATGATGTTGTCTTCCTCTACGCCGTCTTACAACCCGACCCAACGAAGAGGATGTCAGTGGATCAGATCCTAGAAACGGGGTATTTAGACGCCTATTGAGCACATAGCTCACTCTTATTCTGTCGACTCGTCAAGAGGAGGAACGGAAGCAACCGTCTGGGAGAAGAATAAGGAGGGCAGAATACGGAGATTGAAGAAGTTGGAAAGCCTCGATCGTTTGCAAACCTGGACTTGGACGAAGAGTTATCATCTCAGGAATCGCAGCCCTCACTGTCTGCTAGAGTGTCGTTTCTTGCACCACCACGGACACGTGTGGTCATTGCAAGCTGGCAGGGGGCGGTGTCAATCGAAAATGAATCTGTGCTGGCGTGCCAGTGAACTTGCATTTCCATTGATTTTTTTTATGTTGCCGAGCCAACCCCGGAGAGAGGAATGGTTAATAAAAGCCCGAAAGATCGGCTGATTTCGATTGGTGTAACAGGAGATCATCCTTGAACACAAAAGTGGCCGGTGAATTTTGTTGACAAGGACCGAAGAATTTCCCTGGAGACTGGTTGGATTCAGCCAGAGGGCAAGAAGAAAGTCGTGTTCTCGGATGAGGAGTTCATCAAATCTCCTTGACGTGATTTGAATTGAATATGATGATGGATACTGGGCCTGGGAGACGTGAGTAGGGTCGAACAAGTTCTGAAAGTGACACTGAGGATATCCTTAGACTCAGGATTAATTCTTCTTAATAAGATACTCAAAGATTCATTTTCAACAAATACACGAGCAGGGTGGAGCGATGTGTAAGGCTTGGAGATAAATCTGTCAAGACAGCTTCGCGCATTTAGCACCAGCTAGAAGGACAAGTTCGCGCATAGATTTGACGAAGTGTTAGCGAGACCTAGCAAAAGTTTGAATCAGAAATAAATCTGAGGGAAATTCGAGCATTAAGAGGCCAAGACAAGGGCCAAATTCACTAGCAGATTCAACGTGCATTGATAAGCCGACACCAAAAAAAGCAGGTGGCTGATTACCTCCTATATTTTCTAATTGGACACGCTGCATTTATCCAACGTAGATAGATACACATAGACATTCTTTCTGCTCGCCATAAAATATTTGGTACGTCGGATCCTCTCTTCGCAGTCCCGCGACTCTACTTTGGTCACAGACTTGCATCTACTTCATCCACAACCATCACCTTGATACTCCCATTGCGAGGATCCGCACACAAATGCAGAGCATCTTCCGCCCTCTCCAACGGAAAGACATGCGTTACTAAATTCTTCAGATCCAAAATTCCACCACTGATACACGCAACGGCCGATGGCCAAGTGTCCCGATATCGATTGATGAACCGCAGATCAATCTAGCCATCGTTAGCAACGATTCGCCCAAGGCTCGAAGTGAAACCCACCTCTGCGAGAGACATATGCATAAAGGGCAAATTATTCATAATCGCCTTGCCAACACCAATGACGACAACCATGCCGCCCCGGCGCGCCGTATACGCTGCCGTGCAAACACTACTTTCCACCCCTGTGCACTCTAGCACCGTCTCTGGTGCGACGTACTCACTCTCGCCGAAGAGTGCCCTGATAGCTTTCGCATTCTCCTCCGCGTCCTTCGCAAGGTCAACTTGATATGTAATGCAATTCGTCACGAACTCTTTCGCGAACGCAAGCCGCATCGGCTCAACGTCGGTAATGACAATCGGATGGGCGCCTGATGCACGCGCTGCAGCGAGCGCAATGAGGCCAATCGGCCCAGCGCCGCAGACAACAACTCCCCGGCCAAGATTGAGGCGAGCGACTTGGATGCCGCGCATGACGACAGAGAGGGGTTCGAGGAGGGCTCCTTCGGCGTAGGAGAATCCGTCTGGGAGTCTGAAATTACGTTAAGATTAGCTCGGAAAGTGAAAGAAGGGCTGCAATATACCTGTGTAGCCACTTTGCAGGATGGACTTTGTATCGTTGCAATGTCCCCGCGTAGGGGTAGACGCCCGCAAACTGTACGTCTTCGCAGAGGTTATAACGGCCGTCGTTGCAGAGGAAGCATTCTTCACAGGGAACGCCAGGTTCGACGGCTACCTTGTCGCCTTGGAAGCGTCAGTATGTAAGTCTAATATTGAAATCTTGTGTCCTCACCGGGCTTAAGCTGGGTGACGCCTTCACCACATATCAAGACTACGCCGGCCGCTTCATGGCCGATAATGCAATCGCCCTCGAACACTAGCTGGCCGATTCGACCCGCGTTCCAGAAATGGATATCAGACCTGATCGCAAAGATCAGAATATGTACTGTACAGCTGACGGACCGCTTACCCGCAGATTCCAGTAGCCTTTATTTGAAGAAGGACTTCCCCACGTCCGGGAGCGTACACTGGCGCTTCGACAAACTTGAGTTGGTGATCTGCTGTGACCTGCAGTGAGGGGTTGGGAAACGGAGTCTGGATGATCTGGGGGTCGTTAGACGGGGATTTCGTTGGTGCGACTACGTCCTCTGAATTTGATTCTGTGAGAAGAGAGGGGGCCATATTGAAACCAGAAAGTAGAAGTGACTATTTCTATGAAAAGAAATTAGATAGAACATGGCGCACTTCATAAGAACGATGATTTATAGGCACGCTGTGGACTGGAGGAAATCGGCATGCGGGGTATGGGTCAAGAGCGCGATGGGGAGGGAAGTATACGCCTCGAGTCGATTTGACTGTCCATTATCCATATAGTAAGGTGCTAGACATGAACATGTCATTTGACAGTATTTGGGGCGACTTTGGTCTGCTTGACAAATAGCCCGTTTCCTCTTTCGGCAATGTGTGCCTCAAGTTGCCTATTTGGGTAATAAGCTTCACCCTGCCTCATCGAGAGACCTGCTTGATAATGACATAAAAGTCGATGATGCTGCAATTATAAAGGCAATGCTCTGCACCGTATGCCAGCTCTCCTCATCAGGTACACACACCATGGCGATTGCATCTGCACCAGTCACTGCCAACAGCGGCCGCCAGTCCGCCATGTCTTTCGTTCAACAACTATCCAAAGATCATGATCTGGTCTTGCGCACATTTCGCATTCTCATTGCAGATTTATGCCAGCAGTTTGGAGGTGGTCATCCGGGGTAAGCTTCGCCGGCATGCAGACATGACTATACTACCGATTCCACTGACAAATATCAGAGGTGCCATTGGCATGGCAGCCATCGGAGTAGCCCTCTGGCGCTACGTAATGCGATATGCGCCTCACACCCCAGACTTCTTCAACCGCGACCGATTCGTTCTGTCGAACGGGCACGCCTGTCTTTTCCAGTATTGTTTCCTCCACCTGACAGGCTATAAAGCCATGACCTTCGAGCAGCTCAAATCCTACCACTCTGATCGGGTTGACGCGCTGTGTCCTGGTCACCCGGAGATCGAGCACGAAGGAATCGAAGCAACGACCGGGCCATTGGGCCAAGGCGTCGCTAACGCTGTTGGTCTAGCGATGGCGACCAAGAATCTGGCTGCCACGTACAACCGGCCCGGGTACGAGGTGGTGTCGAACCATACCTGGTGCATGGTTGGTGATGCTTGTTTGCAAGAGGGTGTAGCCTTGGAGGCTATATCCTTTGCAGGACATCTCAAGCTCAACAATTTGACTGTCATCTACGACAATAACCAGATTTCCTGTGACGGATCGGTCGATCTGACCAACACAGAAGACGTCAATTCCAAGATGCGCGCCTGCGGCTGGGACGTGATCGACGTCGAGGACGGGTGTTACGATGTTGAAGGTATTGTGCGAGCTTTGGAGCGCGCTCGCGCATCCCATGAGAAGCCCACCTTTATCAATATCCACACAGTCATCGGGCTGGGTAGTCATGTTGCTGGTACGGCTACAGCGCATGGAGCGGCGTTTGGCGCAAGCAACGTCGCGGAGATGAAAAAGGCCAACGGCTTCAATCCAGACGAGTCCTTTGTCATCGGAGAGACTGTGCACAACTTCTTCCACGATCTTCCCGCCAGAGGCGAGCGCTATGTGCGAGAATGGAACCTGCTGGTCAAAGGATACGCCGCCAAATATCCAGAGCTAGGAGATATATTCCAGCATCGAGTGCGCGGTGAACTGCCAGCCAACTGGAAGGATCTGATTCCCTCCAGCTTTCCCGCGAAACCGACACCCTCGAGAGTATCATCAGGGCTGGTCTTCAACCCCATCGCCAAGGGAATCCCCTCCTTCATGGTGGGGACTGCAGACCTCACACCCTCCGTTAACATGGCCTGGCCTGGCAAGGTCGACTTTCAACATGTGAGCTCTTCAGATCGCGCTTGCAGACACCCACTGACATGACCAGCCCGAGCTCCGCACCACCTGCGGCATCAACGGCAACTACTCTGGCAGATACATCCACTACGGAGTCCGCGAACACGCCATGTGCGCCATCTCCAACGGCCTCGCTGCATTCGCCCCCAATACATTCATCCCCGTCACCTCCTCCTTCTTCATGTTCTACCTGTACGCTGCTCCCGCCGTCCGCATGGGCGCTCTGCAAGACCTCCAAGTCATCCACGCCGCCACCCACGACTCGATCGGAATGGGCGAGGACGGACCAACCCATCAGCCTATCGAACTGGCCAGCCTGTACCGAGCCATGCCGAACCTGCTGTACATCCGCCCCGGCGACAGCGAAGAGACCGCTGGCGCATGGATAACCGCCATCGAAGCCAAAACGACATCAACCATCATCTCGACTTCGCGGCATGCACTTCCCCAGCTGAAGCAGACCCGGCGGGAGGGCGTAGCAAAGGGTGCCTACATCCTGGAGGAGGCGGAAAGCGCAACCGTCACGCTCATCGGTGTCGGTGCAGAACTGTCATTTGCTCTGGATGTGGCGAAGAGACTCGAAGAGACTCGGGGGATTGTCGCGCGGGTGGTCAGTTTCCCCTGCCAGCGGCTGTTTGAGAAGCAGTCGGTGGAGTACAAGCGGGAAGTTCTCCAGCGCCATCGGGGGATTCCTGCTGTGGTGATTGAGCCGTATGCGCCGAACGGCTGGGAGCGGTACGCGGATGCGGGAATATGTCTAAGGCGATTTGGACATAGTTTGCCTGGAAATGCGGCGTATAACTTCTTTGGCTATGATATTAATGTGATGACGGGCAAGATAGGCGATTATTTAAAGAGACTGGAGGACGATGAGTTGCTGAGGAGGGAGTTTGTGGATCTGTAATGGCCTTTATGATATTCAAGTATGGAACAGTTGGAGGCTTGTTTGACGGTTCTTTGATCACCAATCCATCTCTGAAACCTTCCTGGTGATAAGACCAGATGCATGAGGATCCTCTTGAGTCATGAGCCCCCTTCAAACCGGGTCAGCCCGCTGTCATTACCACCTGAAGCACCTTGGGAGTCCATGAAGAAGTAGACAGTCGCCTTGCCTTTGATAATGCTGTTGCCAATCTCATCACATAGCGGAATCCATTCACTTAAGTACCCACTATAGTTGACACAGCACATCGGTCAATATTACAGGCGGCAACACTATTTATTGAATCTAGATCCAACATAGACCCCTTGGTTCATAAACATTAAGCGATATACACCTCGAATCAGCTACCATGATGGAGAAACTTGACTATCGACCAGATAATTCTTTCGTCAATGTTCGAATCAACCTCGTTAAAGTTGTCAAAGGCAAGCTACTTCTCGATCCTAGTGAAATATTGCTTCCTTAGTACTGGGCTACGTGTTCTGGACCAATGGTGGGTAGCCCTCAGAGACAGGCTCTCTGCGGCTGGATCTCAAGGATCCTACAACAGTAGATCGGACACAAAACTATCCAGACTTAGCCAAAAAACTGTCATGTCCTTAAAACAATTCTGTGAAATTCTTTCGCGAGCTGAATTAAGATAAGAGATAGAGGAGTGATGTAGTAGCTCTACTACTCATATACATCTATCTCTAGATTCGGATATATAGAGTAGGGAGGAGAGTAAGGCTAGTATGATAGTGAATACCATCCTAGTTTATCATTGGATGACTAATTCAGGATCTGATGTAGCCATCCAAACCCAGCACTTGATGAAGCACAGCTGCGTGGTCTGCATGCCTGTTAAGCTCCTGTCATTCTCACTGCTTTTGCTTGCCGTGGCGTTAAAAGGCATATATTCATGTATAATCCACCCGTGTTTATGAACAGCGATTATCGCACTAGTCTACTACTATGTAGTCAAATCTAACTTTAATTCTCAGCATTTCCAGATTCTTTTAGTTTTTTCACAGAATTCTTTACTTATGCAGTCACAGCCTAGCGCCCCCTGAAAGAACTATTAGAAGTTTCAATAATGATGAGAGCATCTCTTAAACAAGCCCCTGTATCTTAGATGCCAGGTTTTATGTTTCCGCGATAGCCTTCGCCTTTTCGTCGAAGTCGGCGTACTGCAAGGAGAGGATAATTTACGAACAAGCTCCAACTGCGCTTGGGTAAGGAGGTGGATAAAGCATTAAAACACATTTTGTTTACATAGCATTGATCTAATCGCGAAGGCTCTGCCCAGATAAATTAATAGTCATGGAAGTGAGTCTTACGCATTCATTTCCCAGCTCCAGGCAAGGATGAGTAAGTTTCTCTTACGATGGTCAAAGCAGCATTAAGGGATCCTACTAATGTTGCACAAGGCGGTCTTACAGAATATGTGTGCGCAGGGGGAGATGAACTTTACTGGGTAACTGATAGAGACATAAGATGTTGGGCAACTTTGAGAATAAGTGACATGCCATGCCAAGTGTTTAGACCATGGAGTGAGTATACACAGCTGAATAACTCGGTTCCAAGGTCCTGGGCGAACTTAGTCTTCTAACTAAGCATCAGGCGGTAAGCAGGAAGAGCAGTTGAAGTAGATTGTTTAAGTGTAGAAATCCACGGCCTGTTATACACTACCCATGAAAGAGGCACCATCTTTATTGTTATCCTTGGAGTCTATGTGAATGCTAACCCTAGTGAATAGTAGCTTATTTCCCTAACTCCAGGTCAGTGCCCTTATTAAGTAACTGCTTGACCACTGCTTTATATCCATACTGTGCAGCTAATAGCAGCGGTGTTTGGCCGTAGTCATCCTTCAGGTCTGGTCAGCGCCGTTCTCAAGTAACTGCTTAACCACTGTTTCATGCCCATCTGCTGCAGCTAACAATAGTGGTGTTTTGCCCTCCTTGTCCCTTGTGTCTATGTCAGCGCCCTTGTCAAGTAACAGCTGTACCACTGCTTCATGCCCATTCACCGCGGCATATGACAGTGGTGTGTACCAATAATAATAGTTCTCTGAGTCTATATCAGCGCCCTTGTCAAGTAACTGCTTGACCACCGCTTCATGCCMATATTTTGCAGCTAATAGCAGTGGTGTGTGGCCACTCTTGTCCCTTGCATCTATGTCAGCGCCCTTGTCAAGCAACTGCTTGACCACTGCTTCATGCCCATTCTTTGCAGCTAATATCAGCGGCGTTTTGCCCTCCTCATCCCTTGTGTCTATGTCAGCACCCTTGTCAAGTAACTGCTTGACCACTGCTTCGTGCCCATTCTTCGCGGCCCATGATAGCGGCGTACGCTGAAAACCGTCCTTTAAGTCCAGCCTATCTCCTGGCAGTGCTTGACCATCAGTGGTCTGTATGGTTGTTGCGACCTCCTCGGATAGGAGAGTAATAACCGCTCCCTCCACTCCGAAGTATGCCGCCAAGTGCAGACCTGTCATTTGCCTTACCATCCGTATCCGACTTTTCATCGGATTTTTCTTCAGACTGTTTATCAGACCCCTCAAACCTCGCTGATGAGGTAGTACTGCCTGAATTGACGCCTGTAGCTTCATCTTGCAACTTAGAAACCTTACGACTTCTGGGCATAAAATGGAGGCCTTGCGAGCATGATGTCCCCAGTTCTTTGCAGAGTAGTCGTAGAGCTTGTATCGGTCTAGCCGTTCCTGAAATTCACTACGTGAATGGCAAGGCCCAATTTCGAAAGCATCAAATGAGAGATAAGAAACGCAGACTTTTGTGATATCTGTCTCTGCATCTGGAAACCAATATTCCTGTGCTTTCTGGAAGTATTCTTGCGTTGTATAGTGGACTAATCGGATAATGCCACTTCTTTCATCAACTGTAACCAATCCAGCACAAACAGAAACCATTTCATTAATCGGAGTGAAGTTCTCATCATCAAGTTCAGTCTCGTCGATAACCACAGCAAGGGCATGCTGAAGTTCTAAAGTAGTGAGCGGTCTTTTTGCGCTGACAATCCATGATAGAACGTTCTTTGCAAGCTGCTGAGAATCCATAGCCTGCCATTCAATTCGCTGCATAGCATCCATGTATGCATGATTGTATGCTTCGGCCCCTTTTGGAAGGCTTTTTAGAGCTTCCCTGACTTTTCTGATTGATTTCTTGGATTTTATTGAGTCGAAGTGAAGCTGTGCTAGGAGAAACCTGGCGCATAGTTAGTCTATTAAGTGTAGTATGATGTGAAGTTTCACCTACATCCCATCTACGGCGTTTATGATGCCGCTTTGAATTTCTTCGCTGACTGGGATCAAAATAGCCGATTCCGACTGTAATATCCGACCCTTTAAGTATTCTCGCACATCGTCATCACATGCACGGATTTCCAATGTCATGCTAGATTTGAATGTCTCGGTGATTTGTGGGATGAATCTGGAAGTGGCAAAGATGTTTACACCACATTTTGCCTGGAGGTCGAAGATCTCTGCCAGGAATTCTGTTCGGCAACCATATTCCTCACATTCATCAAGCGCGTCAATGAAAATATATGCTCTCGAATATTTAGCCGCGACGGACCGGAGAGCGTTTGAAATTTCGTCAAGTGGTGGAGTTCCTTTGCCTTTATGCCTGTTGTAAAGATTTCCCACACTGTCTGGTAGGGCAGGCTGCTCCTGACTCAGCTGCTTTAGTAGATTCGCAAGTAGGTCTTCGACTTTCTGCTCGTTTTTCCGGCGGAAGTTACAGTAGATGTACGCAATCCCAATGGATTGACCATTCAGGAACCGTGTAGTGAGGTCGTCAATGACTACTGCAGTCAGAATCGTTTTCCCTGCCCCTGGAATGCCTGGGCAGAATAACGTCTGATTTTTCGCGCTTAGCCAAGTCTGGTACTCGGCAGAGTCTAAAAACCATCGACTGGTTCCTGGTTGCCGCCTTTTCAAGAAGTCACTGTGCTGGGGACTATAATCGACTGGCGTTAGCCAGTTGAGGACCTCGAGGTCTTCTGTTCTGTCCAACTTAGACCTCAATGTTTCAATATTGGCCCCAGCTCTCCGCACAGTGTCAAGAACTACATATATCATTAGAATATTGGTATGAACTTGGTAGACGGTCTCGGGAATTACTAACCCTGGCCTAGAATGTCCTTCACTGGGGACGCTCCGTCAACATCACTCTTCTGCACATATTCAAGAAGTTCCTTCGCGTACGCCGCAGCGACGGCTGCGGCATATTCCTGCCAATCATTATTCTTTTGTGAGTCGGCATAATCACAGATACCCCGTATAACAACACATGGGAAATCGTTCATGAGCCCTGCCGCCTCCATTTCAACACACAACACATTCCCGCCGAGACTCTCGTCAAGACTGTTACGAAACTCAGCGTCCTTGACCACCTGATTACCAGATGCGATCAGACCATAATGCACGCGTGTATTCCCAGGTCTGCTCCGAGGGCGATGAGAACTCTCTGGGGTGAATAGCGGGTCCTTGAAGGCATCGGACCAAGTATATTTTGACGCTAGTCTGGGATATTTCTTTCCCAAATCATCAAGATAATCATATATCTTAGAGCCATGCATCTCATGCTGAGTCTCCAGTTTTGTAAGCGCTGTCAGCAGCGCGCTCGGGGGATTATTCAGGGCACCAGTCCTTTTGAAGCTGCCACACCCCTCCGCCTTGCCCATATCCCACTGGACCACTCCAGGATACTGGTCAACGGGCGCACTAACCACAACATCTCCGAGTCTAACCTTCGGCGGAATACCGCCGCCAATACCCACCAGGAGGCCGACCTTGATGGATGGAAAAGTATTGACCATCCAGGTCGCGACCATCGATGCTGAATTAGCGCCATACTTTCCTTTTGGTAAGCAGGCTATGACGATGTTGTGCTTCCCAATGGATCCTAAAGTGTACGCGTTGGGATCATTTGAGGGCTTTGGTAGAGGAGAATGTATCTGATCTAGCATTCCCGTTGCTGCTGTCTGCTCCTTTGACAGTGCGCAGAGCCATCCCACAGTGTAATCACAGTGCATTAGCTCCATCGAACGAGATTTGCAGTCCGTATTGTTACGACCTGTCTTGCTACAGGCAGGGCCTTTATCATCGCTGATCCCTCCGTGCCCTCCGGACATTTTGAATCTGCCTGGATGTTACAGTTTCGGGCGATGCGGTTGTTGGCTTGGGAGTTGACAGATATTAACGGGTCGTTTATGCTGGCTTGCTTTCAACAGTGATTTGAACTCGGGGATTCGATCTGGATGTGTATGTTTGTTTAGTCGGTGGTGATTAGGGCGAGGCTAGGCAGCCTTACTTTGATTCAATAGAACTCAGGAGAGAGCCTCCAGCAGGAGGTGAGGGACTGGATCGCGATAAAGGAAACGGTATAACTGCGAGTGAGCTAATGAGAAGGGAGAAGGAAAAGAGGCGGGATGATGACACAGCTGCTAATTAAGCCTCGTGTTCTAGAATCCGGCGGGTGTTGGGCACAACGCAGCTCAGCCGCACGCGTAAATAGTATCACTTCTATTTATGGTTTTGAACGCCCCTCGAATCCATGAGTCTAAAACATATGGGACTAACAATTGGAGGGCGTAAGTTGATGGCACATGACAGATCCACAAGGCACAGGGGCTGAAGCTTCTGGTCGGTTTGCGTTGCGTCCAGGATCGGGCCTGTCACATTGCCATGGATAGTTCGGCGATCATTGACGGCTTACCCCGCCTCGGTTCAGGTTTGGATCTGTACGTCTCCCTCTTGCAAAAGACTCGGGTAGATCTCTAAGCTTCAGGGTAGTTGTCTTCCCATTTCGGAGATCTCATGATGACGTCCCATCAAGTACCCCGGCCAGTATCACCGCGAGAGATACCAATGTTAAGCTCAGGAGGCAGAAGAAGCGGGAAGAGTTGATTGCACATCCAGCGAGATCGAACTCAGAGATAATGGAGCTTCTTTTTGATCAGGGAGAGGACAGAACGAAGATTGGCTTGCGTAGACTGGCGTATTAGCAAAAGATGGCTAGGCCTTGGGCCCTGCCAGTTGAACACACCAACCAAAGAGTTTCGTGAGCCGCTCAGGTGGAAGGCTGAGCAATTGCCTGATTGGCGATGGAGGGCTATTCATTGATAGCTTTCACACCATTCAAACTGGAGCGCCTGGTGGTCTCCTGGGAAGGAGTAGCTGCCCAACTGTCACATGCATCGAAATTAACCAAATGCCAATCATATTTCGTCTCTTGCCGCCCAGCCTCGTTGCCGTGCATAATCTCCAGCGCAAGGCTGAGACTTGGTGGCTGGTTGCAATCTGGGATCTGACCTTGATACATCCTGCTCTCCATGTTTCCTAAGTGCAGTCAAAGTTAGCAGGCTTCTGTTTCGCCTCTAACTTCTTTGGTAAATCCACGGTAGCCAGAAACATTAGAGCAGCTCGTAGCTCCGTCCTGCCTAGACCACCATAGCCATGCCTTGCCCCTCGCGAGAAGAATTCCAGGTCGGATGGTTCTGCGCCCTACCCATCGAGGCATACAGCAGCTAAGGAACCGCTTAATGAATTGGAGTTCTCGAGGAACAGATGCAGCCGATTCGAAGATCTATACCTTTGGCCGAATCGGCGAACCTTATGTTGCGATTGCCTGCCTGCCTGAAGGACCATGCAGGACCCATTGTTCCAATGTTAGGAGGACCGTAATCTACCGGCCCAAGCTCTAGGTTAGATGGATCTCGCCTTTATGAAGCTAGCGGTATTAACCTAAAAGGACCTGTAATCCAAGTCAAATAAGAGGGCACTGCTAAGGATAGGACCTTCTTTTTGTACTAATGTAACTTACAAGATCGATTTTCCAGAAGATGCTCGCATTTATAATATCTGATTGGCGTCACTTTTGGGCAGAATTACTATAGCGTAGAGAATGTGTGATGCGGATGCCACAAGTGCTCACATTGCTCTATAGATCTATCCGTATCCTCAGAAAAACACTAACAAAGACTTCACAATTAGCCTTGGCATAGCGACTGGCAGATCTTGGTGTTCTTTACTGATTTTGTTTTAGATTAATTAGAAGCACCATCAGATTAGAGTTGAAAGTCTAATACTGACATTGCCCACAAGCAGGATGCCCTCCGCCCAATCAACCAAGAAACAATCCACCTCCTACCAGAAATATCGGTGAATGCTCTACCCTGCTGCGGGAAGTGCGTTGGTAAATGTGATCATAATTCATGTCTGATGGGCTTTGGAAACGCTTAGGGGTGTAAAGGCAAGTTGAGGTGGTGCCATCTTTAATAAATTTTTGCGAGGTCTGGACAACGCCGATTGAGCAAAATAGGCTCCTTACCAGTCAATCTTGCCGCTATCAATGAAAGTGACAGTCAGTCTTATTTTAAGTTACAGCGTCTTACTTCTATTATAAACCCAGTCGTCGCGCCCTCTTAACCTCCTTCTGATTCGAAACCCCTTATAGTCATTAGAGTCGATGCGGGTAAGGAATTCACTTTTATTGCAGCAGATATGACCACCACATATGTTGTTTTAGTAATTTATAGGCATGTAATGTCAAATATAAGTTCATAGCTATAAAGAAATGACTAAGGGTGTAATACTATAGAACCATAGTAATTTAAGTAAACAATTGCCTTCTTGATGATGGCGCTATTGTTAATGCTCATTGCGCAGCAAACTACATAAGGATGCACTGTAGTAGACATATCTACCAAGATTATACGCAGGCGACCCTCTAATTTACAATTACTATGGTAAGGATCAACTCAGTACAAGCCCAAACTTGGCAATGAACAAAGCAATGATCTGTCAGTTCTGACTCTAATCCATTACTATCTGAGACATGCATAAAGCGCCTACTGACTTGGCAACTGAGCATTATCTAGGCAACACTATTTATTGAACTTATCGTCGAACAGAGACCTCCTGCTTCGCAAATATTCAATGATACACACGTTGAATCAGTTACCATGATGGAGAAACTTGATCATCGACCAGATAAGTCTTTTGTCAATGTTCGAATCACTCTCATTGTCATCGCCATCATCTCTTTTCCTTTCAACCTAATTGGCGTCTTTACAGAAAATGTCCAGACTGCTTCGATCAACCAACTAGTAGCTGTAAGTCCAGCCATCTCCATATGCCTGTTCTTCATGACATAATTTTAACCAAGGATACTCTATCATTAGCTTTGCAGCTCTGGCCTATCATCTATTATATTGCTCTATCGGTACCGGCGACATCCAGCATCGTCAAAATCCACCTCTGATGTGAATATTATCATCACCGACCTTTTCTTCGCAATCTACCTCACGGTGGTATACTTCACTATGCTCATCATTGCCGGGGCCGTGGGTAAGCATGTGGTCTGTGTGTACGGCAACCTAGCATGTCTTGTGTCGGGGTAAGTGTCCAATAGCTACCTATCCTTCTTCTCCCTTGAGGCTAATGCAACCCCTGCAGTCTTGCACATGCATATGCAGCCTTGATTGCTGCTATAAACAGATACAAAGCTTATATAACCCGTATTTCTCGGCCCAAGAGTGCCGCCTTTTGTCCCACTTGCTCTCGCAAGTCGAACTATCATATCACGGATGAAGATCAGGAGACGGGTGTGGCTGTTCTAGCGTCTCCAGAACTCATCGATGCCGAGAGTGAATCTCTCGTGGATGGTGGTAGTACTTCCTTCCGGGCTTCCGAGGACACTGCGGTCAGTCTAGGAAGACTTCCTCTCGTTACTGTGGAATGTCTTTACCGTGAGACATTTGACGGGCATTCGGCAGGAGGACAGACGAAGTGACTGGGATTAGAAATACCGAATATTTGGAGTATGAGTCAGGCTCGTCAATGTTTGTAAGGTAGCTGCCGTTTGTGTGGCAGGAGAAAAAGGTAGAGCAATCATCCATCGACTGCAGTGCAGGAGAAACAGCAAGCTATAAAGCACGAATCGAACCGTCTCAAAGGTCACGAGACCTACACTACCTGGCGAGATAACCTTTTTCTTTAAGCCCTCTGGATTGAGGCTCAGTCTATATTGGTCAACACCGCGAAGAATCACCACCTTCATATGAGCCCTTTGGACTTGCCCGATGGCAGAAGCAGAATGAAATATTACATTCACGCATTCTTTTCTCCCTGGAGGAGGCAATTCAATCATTTATTGGCATGAAAGCACGAGTGCAGCACATTTTTTGGCGTGGACTTGGCACCATATATGGCATATCTACAGCCGAAGAGCGCTTGATGACCGTGAAAGCATTACCTGACCTCCAGCCACAGGGGACTGTCAGAATGGTGCATGGCTATCGACGTCCGGTCGCAAAGCCCAAGCAGATGAAGGTCATGTTGGAAGACCTGTTCCATGATATATGTACCTTGCCTTTTAGGTCAATGGCAAGCTGGATTTGTTAGACGAATTCTTCGCCTGCGGCCGAGGTCCCGTGCAGACCTGGATATCAAGCAATTAATGGATCAACTAGTTGCTCTACTCGTTAACCTTGGCATTACCTGATAATCACACTAACTGCGCAAAAAGCTACAAATGCCAAGATAAGGGCCATGCCGTTCTTGTTTTAGCAGTGAGCAGTGCCACCCTATAAATATCAGCTTCCCACCGACATTCCCCGAAGCCAAGTCAAGCACCCCTCTCCAACCATGTCCCTCCATTCCCTCCCAGATGAACTCATACAAGGAGTGATCAATAGTCTCTCCTCTCATCGTGATGTTGCCTCACTTTCCATGCAATCTCGCCGCATATATCGCCTGTGTGAGATGTCCGCTCGGCGCAAATACCTCCGAGTAAGGCTGAGAAACACCTCAGATTTTACAAAAGCCTTTGGGATGTTACTATCAATCTTAAAGACACCCCGACTGGGTTTATATGTCCGTAATATCCAGCTGGAGCGATCGCCATCATTACGGTATGAGGTTGTGGAGAGCTACCAACTACGCCGTGCAGAAAGGGTACTAGAATTAGATGACCTGCTTAGGCTTGAAGAAGCCATTAAACAATTGGGGTTTGAGTCGGTAGAAAAGCAGGAGAAAATTTTGAATATATTACTACAGGACCCTGCTACCATGGAGTATGGCATCGTTCTTTGTCTTGACTTATATTCTGACTCGGAATAGTGACAATGACCCACGATCTCCATTTTTGGCTCAGGCGCTGGCAGCCCTCCTAGTTTCCATCTCACCGATGCTTGAGTCTCTGAGCTTTTGCCCTGTGGGATATGAAGAGCCTATGCTCTTGAGACTAGAAGCAGAAGCTGATGGCGAGCCACTTCCCATAATTGACTATGTATTCAAGCATTTCCTTGAACTGGTCTGTGAGAAGAACATGCCGTTCTTACAGAACCTCCGAGCTGTTAGATTCCTAGTCGATCTAAATACCTGCGTGTATGAAACATCATATTATCAACCCTATGACCTATTCGGCAGTCTAAACCTAGTGCGACGTCTGCCAGCGGTGGAATCTGTCCATGTGGATGCTATTTCTGATCCACATCTCCCAAGTGTTGAGCCCCCACCTCGATCGGGAAATTATACCTGTATCACAATTCAGCACTCCAGCCTTCATTGCCCATACTTGGTTTATACAATCGAATCAGCTAAACGTCTGGAGAAATTCAGATATGGGATCGGCGGCCGCTTCTCAAGGAATGGTATGCTGATATCCTTCCATCCAGAGTGTGTCTTTCGGGCGCTTTTTGCTCACAGAGCCTCCCTGCGCCAGCTGGATCTTGATGTAGAAGGGCAAACTCGTCTACTAGACCTTATTGGTCTGAGGTATCTGATGTACACCATAGAAGAAGAAGAAGAGCAGGAATTGCCCAGGGATGATCCAGTTTACCTGCATGAGTGGGCCGATGAACTTCAGAAGGTTCCTGTGGAGGAGGAACAAATACCTTCTAATACATCTGTGGATGCTTGCTCTCTTGGAAGCTTCTCACAACTAAGAGAGCTCAGTATAGGGGTTCATATTCTTTATCTTTATGCTCGTGGATATGGTGGCGAACAGCGTGGTGACCMGTGGGGTGACCAATTTGTCGATGAATCTTTTTCCCTTGTCGATCACCTGCCGCCGAATCTCGAGTCACTTCGCCTATATGGCTACAAGAAGGGAATGAAGCCGCGCCTGAGAGGTGTTCCACAAAACTTGCTTGACGACCAGCTTGCTAAGCTGATGGCGGAGAAAGATCAAAAGCTCCCACGACTTGCCGTTATTGAGGGTATCGAGGAACTGATCCCGAATGGTGAGACGTTAGAGGGGCCCGGGAATGACGATAAGCTTTGGAAGGGGGAGGCAGATGATGAATGGACGGAGTATGAGTATGAATAATGCTTGGTTCCTATACACTAGCTGTATGCTATCTCATGTCTACGAAACAGGATCGCTAAGTTTGCCCTCAAGCGGATACAGGCTTGATTAAGATTTGATACGAGGCGTTTGGACTCCTTGAATAAAATAGTCCCACTGAAGCTCAAATAGAGGGCTATGGAGACTTGACAGAGGGATATCAGTGCCTCAATATTCTTGGATCATCAGAAAAGGATAGTTGAAGGTAATGCTAACACTAAGGAACCTTCTGAAAAATAGATCTAGCACTGACCAAATAAGATATAAGGAGAGCTTGCTATGTAACTAGTACGATCATTGAATATAGATGATAGTTTTATGCAGAGCAGCACTCACTGTGGCATGTCGGTCTAGAATCTAAAGAAGCATTGTACCCTCGCACTCAGGGGCGGCCTCCCTCGGCAACCAATTGCTCCCACTGTACCCATTCATTCGAGTCCATTTCGAAAGAGAGGATGTCCGGAAAGTCGTAAGAGTCAAGAGATCCGAAATCAAAAAGAGTTTCATGTCCGTTGGATTGTATTTGCTTGCAGCCGAGCGAACTTTCATCAACAGGACCACGGTGCACAGACAGATGTTCAGTTCGAGATAGTTCCCCTGTTGACCTGGTCCTACCACGAATCGCATTAATGTACTCCGGCGTCGATGGTTCCGGCAGCCCCTCAGCCTTCGAAGCGGCAACATAGTGGTCCCAGACCTCCAGTGTCCACTTGCAGAGCACCGTATCCACAGGTTTAGGGGTTCTACCAAACATGCGAGGGCAGGAGAATACGACTCCGATCAACTGCCAGGACCGGTCTACTTCCAGCCCAGTTCTGCGATGTCGAACTTCGATAAGCACGTATAGCATTGCGATCCACAGCGCGCTTGTGCCGATTTGCCATGTGTACTTCTCCAGACCACGATGACCGCCTTGTACCAAGGTGACATATTCCAGTAGCTTTCTGGCATTAGTAAATACAATGTCGCGCTCGGTTTGAAGGTCTTTCGGGGGACTCCTGGCGAATTGGCGCGGATTATGAGCATCGAGCTTCATCTTGCATATGGAGAACCGGATCATGATGGATACGAAAGTATGGAGCGGGTTTGCCGGGTCACAATACCGCAAGTACTTTCGCTCTAAATGATCCTCAATCCGGCTGATGATATTGTCCTTTTTGGCGGGTGGCACATTGGGCCCCAGTACTACTTCCCAGCGCATGTCGGCAGCAGACGATGTCGAAAAGTCATGCAAGGCGACCAGCATCTCGTGTCTGATCAGGCAAAGGGATATAGAGGTAATGCCGTTGCGTTCAGGCGGCAGGTCAGTCATGTCTGGATGGAGATCCTCGTCATCAACATTGAGTGGCGTCTTTGTGTCCGCGCAGGAAATATCCATTGATGGTCTGGTCCCCAGGACATCGGCTATGCGAAAGTCCACATGGACCAAATACCACCATAGCCGTCTTCGCATTTCCGCGTCGAATGGCGAGAGCCCGAGAAATGAGCCATCACGGTGGAATCCCATTTTGCGTGCCAGCCGGATGGCGACGCCGGACAAGACAAATAAGGTGTCGCACGAGTAACTCTTTCGGACGCACATCTTCATCCGTTAGACTTGCCGTTAAACAGGGCTGGATAGCTATCCCTTACCATGAACAATACATATGCCTGAAGAGTCATCGGATTGGAAGTCGACAGGAATCTGGCATCGATCAAAGCTTGCCGAGTTGCGAGTCTATAGCGGGCATACACGACCGATTCCGAGAGTCCAAATAGATCCTGGCACTCGTCTTCGTTGAGAGTACTAACGACCGCCAGGTAGAAAGAGAACATCAGGGCCTCTAAGCTTTTGGATCGCTCCGCTGGATGCCGCAGCCCATTTGCTAACGCAGTCGAGAATGTCGGAAGATGCAGGATTTTAACCAAAGGGTCAACCCGATCGGCATATATATCCCTTAGCTTTGGCAGTATCTGCACAGAGGGGTGGAGGCTTGCAAGATTTTCGAATTTCTCATTCTGTCCGAAGAACAACCCATTTTCGTCGGAAAACGATTCATCCACAGTACCACCGACCTCTGGATGTTGAAACTAAACGACATTAGACAAGACTTCGAGGTTGCTAGGAGGAAATCGAGGACTGTGCTTACCTCGCCGCCGAAGATAGACCAAGGTGCACTGCAGGAGGTCAGATACTGGATACGATACTGTAAGGGAATAGACGCAACACACCTGTCAAAGTATCTGGATACCCCTTCTCGTATGATGAGTTTTGGCTTCGTCTCTTCGAGCGTGGTGTCCACGGCATTGGCATCCTCGTCCATGCACGTATCAGTTTCGGAGTCGGAGTCATCCAGATCGTCGGATGGCTCAGATTTGATGCCATGTAAACTCAACAGTTTCTCATACCGTTCTAGTTTGGCGTGCAGACCCTCTCGAGGAGGCTTGGTTCTTTTACGTTTCCCGCGCACCGGGGGAATGAAGCTGCATTGCTTGTCGGCCTTGACGCAGTTGCAACACGGAGCACGCCGGTCGCATTTGACCTTTCGCTGCCGACAAGGCAAGCAAGAGTAGCTTTTGAAATCGCTACCGTCGGTAAACCGAGTCATTGTTGCATATTCTGCGTGGGGTAAGGTACGTGTCGGGGTGAGATGGAGAAAGAAGAGCAGAAACAGCGGTCGGGGCTCGGAAACAAAAAAATAAATTTTGAGCCCCGAGCGGCGAGTGGGTTTACTGTGATACATATAAACCTATATAATTTTAACAATTTCAAAATGCATCCTCATATTTTTCAAGCTGTATCCTCAGTTGAAGTAACGCCCATTAGTCTCCTTTTCAATTGCTCGCCACTGCTTAATATCAAATGAGACGATGTCTCAGGAGAAGCCCGTCGACACAGCCAAAGACGACAAGGACAAGGATGACATTGTCTATCCCACTGGCCTCAAGCTCTTTCTGCTGATAATTTCGATTCTCATTGGCATGTTCCTGGTTTCCCTGGTGTGTTGAATGATACCCCGGTCGAGATCGACTGTCTATACTGACCACTGCAGGACCGGCTCATCATCTCGACCGCGATTCCCCAGATCACCGACAAGTTCCATTCAACAGGCGATATTGGGTGGTATGGCACGGCGTACCTGCTCAGCAACTGTGCTTTTCAACTGCTGTTCGGGAAGATATACACTATATTCAGCATCAAGGCCACCTTCATGACGTCCATTGTCTTGTTCGAGATCGGTTCGGCCCTCTGCGGCGCGGCTCCAAACTCGATCGGGTTCATTCTCGGCAGAGTCATCGCCGGCCTGGGTTCTGGAGGCATTTCCTCGGGTGCCATGACTATCATCGTGTTTGCACTTCCACTGCACAAGCGGCCCAAGTATCAGGGGCTCTTTGGGGCTGTGTTTGGGGTTGCTTCAGTGGCTGGCCCGCTGGTTGGCGGCGTCTTTACCACCGACGTCACCTGGAGATGGTGCTTTTATATCAATCTTCCCCTAGGAGCAGTGGTAATTGTGGTCATCCTACTTTTTCTCGATATTCCCGACCGTCCAAACACCCAGAAGCCGCTGAAGGAGAAGCTGCGTCAGCTGAATGGTCTGGGAACACTTGCCATCATTCCTGGGATCGTCTGTCTTTGCTTGGCTCTGCAGTGGGGTGGTACCAAGTACGCGGTAAGAGTTCTTTCATCACTGCCTGTGTTCGCCAGTGATATTGACCGCGTCTAGTGGAGCGAGGGCCGGATCGTCGCGCTGCTGGTGTTGGCCTTTGTGCTTTTGATCGCGTTCGTCTTGATCCAGGTGTGGAAGCCAGAGCAGGCGACGCTGCCTCCACGCATCTTCCTGCAACGGAGCATCGCCTCCGGTTTCTGGGTGAGCTGCTGTCTCGGCGCACATACCATCTTGTTCGGTGAGTCGACTGGGATATCAACCTAAGTTGTGACCCGCTTGCCAACCGACGACAGTGTATTATCTTCCCATCTGGTTTCAGGTGATTGACGGCGTCTCGGCCATCCAGAGCGGCATCCGCCTCCTTCCTATGCTCCTTTCGGTGGTTGTAGCGTCCATCCTCACTGGCCAGCTAGTCTCCCGCATCGGCTACTACACGCCCTTTCTGATACTCGGGATCGTCCTCTCCTCCATCGGCGCCGGACTACTCACCACTCTCGGGGTCCACACATCAAAGGCCAAGTGGATCGGCTTTCAGGTCTTGTACGGCTTCGGCCACGGCACCTGCAACCAGATACCGAACATGGCGGCGCAAAGAGTGCTCCCCCGCGAGCAGGTGGCCATCGGCGCGTCGCTCATGTTCTTTGCTCAACAACTCTTTGGCGCGGTCTTTACGTCGGTCGGCCAGAACGTGCTCAGCAACCAGCTGGCCAAGCGTCTGGCGATCAGTCCTCAAATGGTCCAGAATTCGGGTGCCACGCAGCTTCTCGACCACGTTCCCGTCGAAGATCGCGCGGCCTCGCTGGGGGCTTATAACGACTCACTGCGGGTGTGTTTCCAGGTTGGTCTCGTCATGGCCTGCCTTGCCATCGTGGGTGCAGTGACTATGGAATGGCGTACTGTCAAGAAGAAGCAGCTGCCTTCGAAGTCTGAGACCGAGGTTGGACATGCTGCTGAGGAGGGCAGCAAACCGGGTGATTCAAATGAGACGAAAACATTGGCAGGTGCACAGGATGACCAGATAAAGGTGAACTGCAAGCGTGATCCGGAAAAACTGAAGTAGTCATATAATTTAGATATATTGTCAAACGTGTGGAAATGTACAATACCTTAGTGAATAGAGGCACATGCGGCAAATGAGGATAGCAGGTCCGAGTTGTGGAGCCCACCCGCACATCGGCGCCGCCAGACCAATAGAGTCATACTTCCCCAGCCACGCGCCGGTGATTGATTACGTTCTTCTGCTGTTTAGCTCCCAGGCACTAGAGCTGCTGTACCCAATGAGATGATGCATCGCTCACATGTTGACGGGCGAGTGGATGCCGGATGATCAGATCAGATCAGCAGCCAAGATAAACCCCACGTCCGAGGTGAGGATGATCTTCCAGGTTGACGGCGGGCCATTCTCGAGATTTTCATCAACATCCTGACAAAGGGTTACAGAACCACCGCCAAAAATGCAACCCAAAGCAGATGAAGATGCACATGCATCATTCCCACCAGATAAACATGCCTCGGACGAGACGGAGCGTCTGCTACGGCATGATCCACCCGAGGAGATAAATATCTGGGCGTCGCGCAGACAGTCCCGTTCCTGGTGGGCCATCATCGCCATCTCGCTGCTGCTGTTTACTATGTCCGTCCTGTCGCTGGCTGTTTTCTTCACGCTGGGTTTTGGCGCAGGGGCTGCCCCTCATGTGCCCCAGAGCAGACTGTCCAGTCCGATCAAGAACGTCGTGGTTCTGGTGCAGGAGAACCTGTCGTTCGACAACTACGCCGGCGGCCTCACATACCATCCCAGTATTGACGGTCTCGTGAACCGCGAGTACTGCAACCCGGCCAATGTATCCGATCCCCACTCGCCGATGGTGTGCGCAAAGCCCACGGCGAAGAATGTCGCCCCGGATGATCCTGATCACAGTATCACCGGTGGGAACCAGCAAGTGTATAGCACCTATCATCCGGACTACGACCTGAATTCCCCCAACATGCAAGGCTTCGTCGCCGAGCAGATCGCCTCGTACGGCATCGAAGGCGACCTCTCTCGCGCAGGCGAGGTCATCAACTACTACACCCCGGAGCACGTCCCCGTCTTCAACGCCATGGCCGAGAACTTTGTGCTCTTCGATCGCTGGTTCGCCGCCGTGCCCGGCCCAACCAATCCTAATCGCGCCTATCTGACCTCCGGCACGTCGCACGGCCACGGCACCAACGACCCCGACTTCGACAGGTCGGCGCTGCCTCAGCGCTCCATCTTCGAGCAGCTCTCCGCCAACAACATCAGCTGGATCAACTACTCCAACACGACCGGCTTTCTCCCGGACGCGCTCTTCTACCGCTGGACCGCCATGTCAGGACTCGGCGAGACCAACGTCCGCCCCATTGACCAGTTCTACCGCGACGCAAAAGCAGGCACCCTGCCCCAGTTCACCTGGATCAACCCGGAATGCTGCTCGTACATGTCCTTCCATCCCCCGTCACCCATCAATATGGGCGAGGGCTGGATCAAAAGCGTCTACGAGGCGCTCCGCTCCTCCCCGCAGTGGCACGAGACCCTCTTCATCCTTACCTTTGACGAGCACGGCGGGTTCGCGGACCATGTCCCTCCCCCGGAGAACGTGCCTGCAGGCGACGACCTGACCTACACCGAGACGGCGCCGGACGGCAAGGTCGCCACGTTTGCGTTTGATCGGTTGGGGATCCGGGTGCCGACGGTGCTGATGTCGCCGTGGGTGGGCAAGGGTGTTGTGCAGAACAAGCCGACGGATCAGAGCGGGGAGTTCACCCATACGTCTATCCTGAAGTTTGTGGCTGATCTGTGGGGGTTGGAGTACTTGTCGCCGCGTGTGGCCTGGTCTGCTAGTTTTGCGCATTTGATTAAGGATACGTATCGTGAGGATACACCGGAGAAGTTACCTGAGCCGGCGGATTTCTAGACATAGTCAGGTAGTAGATAGATATATTCCAGTTTTGCAACCGTTTAGCAATCACAAAGAAAGACCTAAATAAATCCCGCCTTTCAACGCAGCATTAATGTAGTGGAGGATATATATGTTATCAGGCTTCACTATGCGCCGTAAGGCTGACAGAGCTAACGGTCAGTGAGAGGCAGCAGTGGCGCTGGTCTGGTTTCACAAACTGTGTTTTTCGTTGGTAATGGGCAACGCTGGCTAAATAAGAGCTCTAAGGTATCCATATGACCAGACTGACTGGGTGATTGTGATTGTCTAAAGGGAGGTATCAGATCATTCTGTTGCCTATCGAGTGTTGACTTCCGCTCTATAATAAGGAACCTCGAGTGGGAAATAATACTGAACTGCACTCTACACCCATGAGGAGAGTTTAGTCCTTTTAAGTGGTTGATAGACACACGGTTATAGCATATGCCTCGTACGTCTGTTGTGAAATAATCAAGCGTATGGGAATCCTTACGTTCACCACATACGCCGAACAAGTGCAGGCCCATGTGATCAATATTCAAGGAAGTTTGCATGCTAGTATATTTATCACTTGCAATAATAACAGAGGTTCTACCCCAAGGGTAGTCCGCTTGACTGGCTGACAACTCTTGCGCAGACGTCCTGCGAGGCAGCACCACAACCGCAATGATGAGAGTCACTGGTGCAAGAAACGGATTCTTATAAGCTGTGTCAATGCAATATTGTGGCCTCTGTGCATCAGACAGAAAAGTGCTTATCAACGTTATCCGGGTGTTCGGATGGAGGGCTTATAACCTGGTAGGCGTGCGAGCACAAGCATTCCCGGCGCTCATCCCTCACTCGCTTGGAATGCCACCGACTGAACATGCTCGAACGAGCTGATAAGACTAGTACATTTGTAATTGCGTCGACAATAGGAATAAGATGAGTGATATCTGTTTTTGGCAGTTGTAGACCGTTGGTTCTTTTGTCTCGTGTCAAGCTGGTCAAGATGGTTTAGATCTATATAACTAAGACTCACGTTTATACATTAAATCGGAAGCATGTCACTCAGAGTTACCTATGAGTAATGAGCACCGGAGAAGAAAAATATTACCTAATGAGCATGACAAGCACACGCGTTCTGGTCACTGCTGTCCAGTGTCCAGCAGGTCGATTCTCGACTCCTTGTTCGGGCGACAGGATCAAGAGCCCTTCCGATTCCCCACATATCTCAGAGCTTATACTGCTGAAGAATGCAGACCTGCCAACTACCCTGAGCGTCAGAGTTATTTTCAGAGCTCCGAGCTCAAAGCCTCCTGCGCCATGAACCTTTTCCTGCAGGCTGCAGCAAGTGGATCGGAGTTATGACGAAAGATTATTCCTTGTGCTTTGGCAATGACTACTTGGCTTTGAAGCGGAAAAGGACATATCTACTGCAACTGTATCATATTCATAGGCAAGTTTCATGGTTCGGCTGTTTCATATCAATGATTGACCTGGAGCTTGCAATTGCTCTGATCACACGTCATGGAGCGTGTATCAGATTTTCTAAGAGTGGCGATGTCGTATACCATTCCCATGCTATGATTGATCCGGCAAAATGGTGATATAAGCCCCAAATCAGGCACAAAGACCTAAGTAGCAGCCAGCGTACACCGGGCTTCCACGAACACATTTGGCAAATGTCCACAGGCAAGCAGAAGAGTCTGGCAGTGATTCCAACACTGAAAGCCCAGCTTAAGGTCAAGAAGATGGAGAGCTCCGCATACTCCCAAACGGGCTAGGTATACATACCAATGGCACGGCGCTTGACCTGATCGACACGGATCTGTCCTTGTTTCATTCCCCCGCGGAAATCCTACATACCAGCACTATCGTAAAGCTTCTCCGCGAGTGACAACGCCAGAAGGGATGATAGCAGGATCTATTTTCTCCGTCTCCCCACTACTCACGGTTGCTCGCCCTGGCTTCCGCGGTCATGGACACGCCTCACCTGATGTTATACGGACCCTTGTGGATCCCAACGCAGAGTATTTCATCATCCTGCCTCTTCGTTTGAGGCGAGACCGTTTATTATTTCAAGGTTGGGATTGCTTCCTACTTGCTCGTTTCCATGCACTACGATGGCTGCCAACGAGCTCGAATCGGTACCCCCAGCGCTCTTTAAGGAGACCTTCTCGCATATACCGACCTCGTCGGACGATTACTCGGACGACATTGACGAGTTTGATGACTCGCGGCTACCACCAGTTGACGGAGGATACCAAGCATGGCTATTTCTAGCGGCTTGTTTCATGGTGGAAGGTATAGTATGGGGTGAGTCGTCTTCACACCGTCCAGATGAAACAGCAAAAGTTGACGGGTGAGAGGATTCGCACAATCATTCGGGGTATTTGAGAACTATTATCGAACTCATGAACCTTTTTCGGAATCGACTGAGATTGCGTCTATTGGGACCTGCGCAATGGTCAGATATCCTTCCATGTATACATGACCTATACTGACATGGTATCATCCATAGGGGCTGGCTTACCTGCCCACACCCATTGTTATCGCCATCATGTTTGCATTCCCGCGAGCTCGGCGCTGGTTTTCGACCGCGGGATTCGTCATCATGTGTCTGGCGCTGGGACTGAGTTCGTTCTCGACAAGCGTCACCCACTTGATCATGTCGCAGGGAGTGGCATATGGGATCGGGGGTTGTCTAGCCTACACCCCGTCCATCCTCTTCCTATCCGACTGGTTCGTCGAGAAGAAAGGCCTCGCCTTCGGCATCGTCTGGGTATGTTCCCTCTCCGTTCACATCCTTCAACCCCAACTAAATCTAGTACAGAGCGGCTCCGGCCTCACAGGCATCCTCTTCCCGCTCATCCTCCAAACCCTCCTCAACCGCTACGGCTGGCAAACCACTCTCCGCGCCTGCTCCATCGCGCTCTTCCTCCTCGCCGCCCCCTTCATGACCTTCCACAAGCCCCGCGTCCCCATCCGCCACTCGCACCTCCGCCAGCTCAGCCTCCGCTTCCTCTTGGACAAAGTCTACCTGATCTACCAGCTCGGCAACACAATGCAAGCCATCGGCTTCTGGATCCCCTCCATTTTTCTAACCTCGTACGCCCGCACCCTCGGCGCAAGCGACTTCCTCGCCTCCCTCACCGTCACCCTCTTCAACCTCATGACCGTCTTCGGCTGCATCTTCACCGGCTACTTCGCCGACCGCCACCACGTCACCAAATGCATCCTGCTTTCCTCGGCGGGGGCTGTCGCTTCCGTCTTCCTCCTCTGGGGGCTAGCCACGCACATGGCCACCCTGTACATCTTCTGCATTGTGTATGGGTTCTTCGCGGGGGGATACTCGTCCTCGTGGTCGGCGCTGTCGCACGAGGTGCAGAAGAGTGAGCGCTCAGCGCATGTGAGCATGGTGTTTGCGTTTCTGGAGACGGGCCGCGGCGTCGGGAATGTGGTTAGTGGGCCGTTGAGCGAGGCGCTGCTGAAGGTGGGTGGGTGGAAGGGGGACGCGTTTGGCGCGTATGGAACTGAGTATGGGGTGTTGGTTGTGTTGACTGGGGTGACGGCGTTTCTGGGCGGGTTTGCGTCCATGGCGAGGATGTTTCGGTGGATTTGATATGTGGCAAGTGTACTGTACGATATACTAAAAGATGGATGCGTTTGTACGGAGTAGTGGGGTGGTATTGATAGAAGCATATAGTACGAAACAGAGTTAAATGTCATCTCAATCTATATATATATACACATATCTATGTCTTTGTCTATGTATACTTTGTACAATAGTGACTATTGCTAGCCAATAAACCGACCCTTGGCCCTCTCGAACCACCCCTTGTTCGGAGCAGACGTCTCCCACGAGGTACTCTTCGGCTCGACGCGTCCGGTATCCAGATCCGCCTCGAGGGGATCCACAAACTTCGTTCGCAAGACAATCTTATGCCCCAGATACAGCACGACAAACAGAATCGGACAGACATACGCGACGAAAAAACTCGAGACATCAAAAGTGGGGATCCACGCCGTGAACCCCTGCGTGAAGATGATCAGCACGTTGAAGAAAAGCCCGTAGTAGGCCAGCCACGGCTGCCAGAGGGCCTTGTACGGCAGGGTGTCGCGGGAGATATTGCGCGCGGCCAGCACGCGCATAAACGCAATGTGGCAGGCGTTGATGGATGCCCAGCAGATGAAGCCGGCCACGCCGGAGATGTTGACCAGCCAGTTGAAGACTGTGCCGCCCGACTCGGAGAGGTTCAGGAAGCCGAGCAGCCCGAAGGCAGCAGTGAAGCCCACGCTGATGTAGGGCACACCGCGCTTCGTGACCTTGGCGAACCATTGGGGCGCGAAGCCCTCGCGCGCCAGACCGAGGAGCACGCGGCTACCGCTGTAGACGTTGGAGTTGGCGGCGGAGAGAACGACGGTCAGGAGCACGGCGTTGATCAGACCAGGGAGCACCTGGACGCCGGCGAGATTGGCGGCGATGACCATTGGGGAGGCAGAGGCGTTGGAGGAGGCGGTGACCAGGTTGGGGTTGTCGTAGGGGACCAGGAGACCAATGAAGAAAATGGTCAGGACGAAGAAGATGAGAATGCGGAAGAAGGTCTTGCGGATGGCGGAGGGAACCGTCTTCTCGGGGTTCTCGGTCTCTCCGGCAGCGACACCCACGAGCTCAGTGCCCTGGTAGGAGAACCCGGCTTGGATCAGGACGGCCCAGAATCCGACGAATTTGGCGGTGTTGACATTCGATTCGATGAGGTATGGTGCGAACGCGCCGGGTTCCTTCCAGGTGTGAAATCCCAGGTAGCCCTGCTTGCCTACGCCAGCATCAATGCAGATGGCGAAGATCATGAATCCCAGGACGGTAAGCACCTTGATGGCCGAGAACCAGAACTCGAGCTCGCCGTAGAAGCCGACAGGAAGAAAATTGAGCAGCGTGATGAACACCCAGAACACCCCGATGAATATGGCAATCGACAAGTCCTCGTTCCAGTATTGGATAATCATGCCGGTGGCCGTCAATTCCACTGCGTATGTCGAAGCCCAGTTGAACCAGTAGATCCATCCCATGGCAAATCCCAGACTGGGATCAACCAGTCGTGCTGCATATGAGGTGAAGGCGCCGGCGGTGGGGATATACGTCGCGACTTCTCCCAACGAGGTCATCACCGAGTATACGATCGTCCCGACAAAGATGTAGGCGATGAGAGCCCCGGCTGGGCCAGCGTGCGCAATGGCCGTTCCACTGCTGATAAACAGACCGGTTCCAATTGTTCCTCCTGGTCGCTGTTAGATTCCTTTTTTTCCCTCCGCAAAGAATGAGATACTGACCGATGGCGATCATCTGCAAATGTCTATCCTTCAACTGCCGCTTGAGATCGGGCGTCTCCGATTCCTGTACCTCCTCATTGCTCTCCTCATCGCTGTTGTGGTGGTCGCCTCGCAGCGAGTTCACCTTATTCGAGCGTAAACGGACCTTATCTGCCAACTTGCGGCGTTTTTCAGCGCTGGAGGCCTCCAGACCCTTGGCATCAGAGGTCATATTGTCTTGAACTGCCATGGTGCCAGTCAGGTAAGCAATTGCAGTTAGACAGCTGTCAAGGTCGCAGGGAGAAAATCCGCTCGAATGGCAAATGAAAATTTCTGCCCCTCAGTTGTGTCATTTTTTCTGGACCGTGCCTAGCCGGTGGAGATACAAATGTCAGAAATTGTCGGGTGCACCCACCGGAAGAGGCAAACTATTATGTAAACGACGCTACAAAGAAGAAAGACCACACGATAGGGTTCCAAGAGAGTTTGGATCGGTTCAAGCTAACCCTATTGAACGCGAGTACCTGAGTTTCTAATAGCCTTACAGATGCTTGTCTACTAGATGTATCCTGAGGTTTGCAGACAACAGGAGACGTTCCTGGATAGAGATGGACCGTTTTCAGTAAATGTCGTCAAGCATTGCCAAGAAATATTTTACCAGTACATTTGAAATTTAACAGACAATTAATCAAGACGAGGACAAAAGCCATGATGATTTCGTAGTTCTCGATCACTTTCCCCAGACAATATTATTGTGGACCGTCTTCCACCTAGATCGCGGTAAAGGCAGTGATTTTTTTTCCTTGCTGCTTCCTTTGGATGATGATACACAATATTTGCCACTCAGTCCCGATCAGGACTGGTAGCTCAGTGGTAGAGCGTGAGATTGCAAATCTTAAGGTCGCGTGTTCGATCCACGCTTAGTCCTGTTTCTTTTGTTTTTTTTTTTTCCCCTTTCCGCGGACCTGCTACAACTCACCTCAGCTTCTGTCTTTATTCCAAATGAAATAAAGTACTTGTTCAGGAATCCAATCTTCTAACATATCCCTTACAGCTCTGACTGCAGATGGTTGCAATCATAAATATAACCACTTTATTGCGATACCTGCCAAATATATATTGGAATTGATCAACGGCTATATTACCAAGTCTCCTTGATCAACTCAGCACACTTCTCACCAATGCCATATGCAGGCATCTGAGTATGTCCTCCATGCAACGTAGGCATGATACTGCAATCCGCCACCCGAAGACCAACGACACCCTTCACCCGCAGCTTGTTATCCAGCACCGCCATCGGATTGTCATCTTTGCCCATTGCGCATGTGCCGGAAGCGTGATAGCCTATCCTGTCAGTTACCTATAGGACCACAAGTTGGAGTACGGGTGACTCACAAGTTGTCGCATGCTCCTTGACATACGGGATCCACTCCTCCCTTGTCTTGTACGTATGATGTGTGAGATTCGGCGGCCATGAGCCTTTGACGATGTCCTTTGTTCCCGCACCGTTCATAACAATCTCATTACCGAAGCGACACGCCTCAGTCAACACGAGCAGATCGAGTGGGTCAGATAGATAATTGCAGTCGATGATCGGATTCTCCTTTGGATCCTTGGACTTGAGCGTCACCGTGCCGCGGGACTTGGGCGCGAACAGTTCGGCGATCATGGAAAACGCGTGTTTGTGGTCGATGGGGAACTGGTTGTACTGCTTGGGACCACCGTAGCACTCCGTTGTGAAGAACTCGATGTTGGGCTGTTTGGGGGTGAGGCCCATCGGGTCGCGGCCGGGTTGGCGGGGTGCATCGCGCCAGAGGGGCTCGTCCTTCAGACGGTCGTCAATCCGGGCAAAGGCGAAGGAGCCGAAGGGGAAGGTGGAGAGGAAGCCGGACTTGTGTTCTTTCCACTGCTGGTAGGTTTTGGCGAAGTTGTCGTCGTGGTAGACGTGGAAGTCGGTTGTGAGGCCTTCTTTTTCGGTTTCGTAGAACATGAAGACGATCTGCGATGTGAGTATCGTGTGTACGTGGGCAGAGGGAGGGTCTTACCAAGTGGTCCATGAGGTTCTTGCCCACGCCGGGGAGATCAACTTGGCAGGGGATGCCGTGCTGCTCCAACTCCTCGCGAGCTCCGATCCCCGAGCGCATAAGGATGGCAGGACTGCAGTATGCTCCTCCAGATATGATGATTTCCTTTCGCGCGTGGAATGTGCGTGGCGTCCCATCAGCCAGCTGAGTGATGACGCTGGTGGCTCGGAGCCCATCGGGACCTTGTTCGAGCACGACGCGGTCGACGGTGGTGTCTGTCTGGATGGTCACATTATTGCGGTGATATTCCTTGGTGATGTAGTCCGCTGCAGTGGACCGAATGCCCTTGTATACMGTTCGAGGCACGTGGCCGCATCCATGGGGTACGTCGCCGGTGCTGAACATGTCGTGGTGTAGAGGCAAACCCTGCGAGACGAACGAATCCAAGAGGAGATTGGCAATGGGGGCAAGATCATGGGGCTCGGTGTGCAGAGGGCCAGAATACCCATGGCTCTTCTCATCCGCTTCGAACCAGGGCTTGGAGTGGAATGTTTCCGCCTATACAGTTAGTATATCTCACATCTGCGTTCTTATGATCAGAGATACCTTTCTCATGGCAGCAAAGAACTCCTCACCACTCCAGCCTTCCAATCCCCAGTCATCGTAGTCCTGTTTGGCACCTCGGATGCACAGTGTACCATTGCATCCACTAGAACCGCCGAGGAACCGACCACGGCTCAGTTTCACCTGCCGATTGTCCACTCCAGGCATTGGGCCTGTGATTAGGTTCCAGTCGGTCTCTGAGTCGAAGTTGTTTGACCATCTATAAGGAGTTAGCAAGGAGGCATGAGACCAACCTGGTAATCACATACCCTCCAGCCATGTGTACATTTTCCAGGTCCCGATTGTGTTGTCCGGCTTCGATGACGAGGATTTTGATATCGGGATTCTCAGCAAGACGACCTGCGACTACACAACCAGAGGTTCCTCCTCTGTAAATAGTGGGTTAGTGCCAACGAGTAGCATACCTGGTCCTGGGCGAGATACTCACCCGCAGATGATGTAGTCATATACATCTTGCGTATCCACAATCGAACCCATGGTGCAGTCTCTCTTTCTTCCTTGGTTGCAAACTTAGTTTGAGACGAGCGTCAAAGTCAGGCTGGAGTGTCATCTTGACGAAAAATCCCCCTTATTATGCACGATAGCGTTCAAGTGTAGGAGGGGTAAAGGCGAAGCTAGGGTCTCTCGTGTCACCGAGCCATTCGCTTCTGCCACCCCTGAGAAG